ATTGATTTGCTTTTTTTTATACCACTGAGGTGGCAAACAAGCATACGGCCCACCTGATGGTAAGTGGTTACCGTAGCCTATGAACACCTGTAATACCAGAGTTATTACGCGTGCGTTACCAACCCTTAAGAAACCTCTTTACCCCCCTTTTGAAGAACCCCATGCTGTAGTCTCTTGGGAAAACCTCGGCAAGGAGCTCATTCCACAACCTGAGTTGTTCGTGGGAGGAAACATCTCTGAAACCGCGCAGTACGCGACCATCGAGGCTGTAGGACATGAGGATGAACTCCCTGTCGATGGCGAGCCGTACGATGGTAGAAAGTGGCTGTCGAGTAGTCTACTCTAACTTAATAGATCACGTGCTATTCTATTGCCGGTATTCATTTCTTCTTTGAAGTTCCATATTCCAACATACTCGTGTTAATGATTTACATTAAGATGTAGCACCATAGTGGAAAGGATTGTTGGGCTCCGTTAAGTATTGGTGAACGCAATGATGACTGGGTTATACATCTCAGACTCATGATCAGGTGCTAATTCTGATCTGCTGTACGTAACTTAGACTAACTTAGTTATAATTTACTATAACTTTGTATATTATAAATTATATCAATGTTTATATATATATATATATATATATATATATATATATATATATATATATATATATATATATATATATATATATATATATATATATATATATATATATATATCAGATTGCAATTAATCCGAAGTCGTTGATGGGTTAAACACTGCGCTACGTTGAATTTTTGACAGTACCAATAGATTTGGGATTTAGTCAATCCTAACAAATGCCAAGCTATTAATTCTTAGAAGTTCAAGACAACTTCGCGAAATTGATAGCCGTTCAATACCTTCGATTCTCTGCAATGACGTTCAAATCCCTTATTGTATCTTAACTACTATTACTAACTATTGATAGTTCTCTGGGTTTGGATTGTTATGTTGAAGAAATCTCGCGAAAAGTTACGTCCTCCTTGTATGATTTATGTAAGTTAAATAACTTCCTCCCAAGCTCTACCAAAGTGTCACTTGTCCAATCACCAGTAGTGACGTGTGTTATTCAAATATGAATGAGGGCCTTCTAAATAAATTGGATCGTCTTTTCAATAATTGTATCCGCTTCATCTATGGGTTGCGTAAGTACGACTATATCTCATTTTATCGTTCTCAATTTAAATGGCTTCCCATCAGACAACTGAGAAATGTTCGTCTGCTTTGTATTATTCTCTTTTCTATTTTATACGATCCAAACTCACCTGAAAGAATACTTCAAGATCTAAACTTCTTAAAGATCTGCCCCGACCAAATTGGCATTCTAACATAAACTACGTTCTTTTTATTTATAATGGAATCCCTATAATCGTAATTTGTTTTCAGTTTTGCTTTGTCTGATGCTAGTATTTCCCTTGTATCCGAATGGTTTTTCGTCTGTCATTATTTATTATTATATTTAGTATATATGTATGTATAATGTAGATAATATAAGTGTTATATGTATGTTATTTATATATTAGTATTTAATATTAATATTGTTGTTGTTTTTCTATTTATTTGCTCATTACGTTGCACCGTCAATTATATTTCCTGTTATTCCTGTCTACGGTCGACTGGTAGATAACGTCATATGGTGTTAAATCCGCCATTTACAATACCTGTGCGTATTAAAGTTTAATATATTAATAATAATTATTATTATTATATACAAATAAAATATTAGAAGACAACTGACATCATTCTATCAAGGCACATCATTTTTTTTTATACCACTACCTCAGTGGTAAACAAGCATACGGCCCACCTGATGGTAAGTGGATACCGTAGCCTATGAACACCTGCAATACCAGAGGCCTTACGCGCGCCTTACGCACATCATAAATATAGGAACTTCATTTTAAAAGAGTTCTTCATACAATAGAGGCAAACTTATTCACTACGAATGTGCTTTGGAAATTTCAATAGAATTGTGATGATAAAAGTGATGGGTTCTATGCCGGCGAAGTTGCGGGGTTTCCCTCTGATAAGTGAACTCCAATCCTTCATAAATAATGTGATAAAGAAATGAAGGACGTTCCAGGCGTCCCGGGCGACCGCCCATCAGCCGTCTAAATATAGTCTCGGCTAAAAATAACTACCCCCAGCGCCCCCTCCCCTCGCCTCCCACCGCGCTCTATCTGGCGGGGTGTTCCCACCACCCAACCTCCACCGCCACAGCGCTACCTCACGACCTACATTTAAATAGTCTCCCTGGATGCCTTCAAATCCTGAAATGATTGCTACAATTTATTCTAGTGCTTTAGGAATCATACCTATTTGCCTCCTGTCACATATATTTCTGCTATTGTTTACTTACATAAAAATACGTTTTTTAGTCTTCAAGTTCATTCGATTATGTTTTATTAACTACATTAGTATAAACTAGCGGCCCGTCCCGGCGTCGCACGGGTGGACCGTTTTAACATTTCCCTTCACTGCTCTGCTCCTATTGATCGTAGCCTGATGAAAAGTATACTATAACCTGCCCAGGAGTATAAAGAATAATTGTACTAAGTTTCGTTAAAATCCGTCGAGTAGTTTTTGTTTCTATAACGAACATACAGATAGACAGACAAAAATGTTACTGATTGTATTTTTGGCATCAGTATCGATCACTAATCACCCGCTGATAGTTATTTTGGAAATATATTTCATGTACAGAATTGACCTCTCTACAGATTTATTATAAGTATAGATTAATATACATTTACATAAACTTAATATCTATTAAGTTTTATTAATATAAACAAAATTGAAAAGCTTCGAACAATTTACAGTCGGTAAATTACCATACTAATGTTTGACTTACATTTATACCTAAAAACAATTATAAATGGTATTACTAAATTGGGAAGATGTCTTAAAATAACTCTCCTAGTTCAATATATTGGACTAGAAACTACAATTAACAACAAGTGAAGAGAATATATTTTCTACAATTGGTACGTCGGTTAGAAAACTATTTACAAGGGTGGGTACGACGTTATTCAATAATGTACTTTCTTTTGAAACAAGTTTATTGGTATTTAGATGAGAAGTGATTACAATACGATTGTATCAGTGATTAACTTCGTGCTTCATGCTGTTTAAAATTTTCAGTTTAGTTGAAATATGAAAAGGCTTGAAACGATTGCAAACTTAATGAAAACTTTTCATTAATTAATGATTGTTGAAACTACGTTTCAAATAAGACATCACTGCGGAATATTTTTCAAACGAACGATTATTTGACAGGAGCGAGAGGTTTTTTGAAACAAGAGCACGAAAAATATGTTTATTAAGTTCGTGAACATCCCTCATGGCTAAGCTCGGACTTTTACTTATATAAATATAAAAAGAAGAGGAAAAGAAATGAAAAAATAAGAAAGATTTTTCAACCAATTTAAGTGAAGCAGTTGTGTTTGCATGGCTGTGTTTCGGTTTGAAGGGTGGGATATGGCGTGAATTTACTGGGTACAGAGGAATAACACCTGAGTCCTCAGGAATGGCAACGCATGGGGAGTATCATGAGCAAAACAGTATACTCTGTTATGTCCATGGTACTACTCATATCTATAGGCGACGGTTACCACTTTCCATCAGGTGGGCCGTCAGCTTGATTGCCATTCTAAGTTGTATAAAAAAAACGGTTCGCTGTTTCGTTTTATCCTTCGTGTATGTGTTTGTTTCATTATTTTTTTTATGATTATTAAACGAGTTTGGTGTTGTTAATTGGGCACGTTGGTTGTCTAGTTTCTTATTATACAGTAGCTTTGCTTAAATGGTACTTAATAACAAGAGGTATTGTTTACCTTTCTATCGTTGTGAATGTGAATAATAATTCTAATTTTAGCACCCCTAATACTAGAGGCTGCGTTAATTTTAAAAGTTTATGTCCATATATATTTTGAAATCGCGGATATTGCACTATTATTCTTTAAAAGTGGCATCATTTACTCTGTTAGTTTGGCAGCATGTATGTATTATATTATGTACATTACTCAAATGTGGGCCGTTACTAATTTGTGAAGATGTTACTGTCACGTCTTTATTTTGGGTTGGCTTGTTTTTCACATCGCATTGTTTACTGTGAATATGTAACATCAATAGGAAGAAAAAAAGAGCAAATTTTTTTTAATGGGTGATAATGGAATGGTTACCCCGCCTGTGCTATCGGTATACACTAGCGAGGTACCAGTGGTGGATGATAAATGAGGATGAAGTAGGTCAGTTAGCCCATCGTGACGAATTCAACAAGAATTGTTCACAATGGTTTTTTATAATAGGGCATATTGCTAGCAATTGGGCTGTCAAACTCCATTGATAACAATCCCTCCCCCCCCCCCAAAAAGAACAAATTGAAAAGTTTTTCTTACTTTATATACAGAATATAGTTTATTGCAATTTCCTTGAAGAACTTACTTCTAGTAGTTAATTTTAAACTTTCGTTGTTTACATATATTTTTAAATATACAATCGGGACTTAACGCGATGAAAAACTTTAATAGGTAAATAGTACCTACATACCTTTACTTACATTACTTCAAATACGTTAAACCGTGCTTAGAATAAGTAAAAATATGTTTTGGAAATTCGGAATTCACTATCTAAACTAAAAAAGTTTATTTTTATAACTCCATTTCTATCACTTAATTGATATGGCCGGATAGACCTAGCCTATAAGCCAATAAATGGAGTTCAAATGTATGGTGTCGATATAACTGATACGTATCTCAATCCTGTACAATTTGCATTTTTCTATTAACGATATCATCACCAGAACGTTGCTCTCCAAGTCATATCAATTTCACCAATTTTATTCGCTCTCTTCATCAGTTTCTTTACAATAAATATTACTTAGTCTCGTGTCGGAACACTTTCGAAGTGTGGTATTTAGAGAATGAATTAAGACTTCCTATTACTATGGTATAATATAGGTGAACTCGTTTGGTTGTCGGCAGATATGGCGCACGAGACAGCAGGCGGCGCCGACGGCTCACCACATCACACGCCGTCGCCGCCGCACGCTGCCCACCTGCCCATAGCAGACACCAGCTTTCATCATCAGATTATGCAGGTAATCACCGCTGTGCGCCGTCCAGCGTCGCCCGCAACACCACACGACCGGCAACGTTGACAGGAATCAAGTATACCCGTGATCACTTTTGATTTGCTATAACTCAAATAGTTGATGGTCGAGTACTCAGTAAATATTACGTTATTATCAGTTCTGTTTAATTTTTTTATCTATGTTAAAGTTTTATTTTTTTCCTTTGTCCGACTCATTAAATATCAGGGCCACCATTAAAGAGAATTTAATTAGAGTTTAATATTTGTATTGTAAGAAGAAGACATACTGCGCTGACCCCAACTAAATGGGAAAATTTTATATTGTAAATATTCAATTTAAAATTATAACCTTTATGTAGTAATCATGGGTTTAGAAATAGAAAAAGGAAACTAATAATACGCGGCCTTTATTGTAAATAAAGTGTTAAAAAAAGAACCCGCTTATTAAATATAGAGGGGTCAATGTTTAAAAAATTGCTGAGTTCCCGTGACCTTTCCCCGGAATATTGCAGCCGCGTGCCAGCGCCCATCCATCTTGTTTTTAAACTCGGCCCAAGCAGTATTTATAAAAAGATCCCGCGCGCCGTTATAAATAAACCAATATCAACGCGATATAACGCGTACAGCGCTCAGTCAGTCCGTCTGCATACTATATTTACATGCGATCCGCTCCGTTCCGTGTAAATATGGACGATTAATTTTAGACTAAATGTTGATACGATGCTGCGCGGCCTCCATTCCTGTCGCTCCACTCGCTTGCGATTTACTCCATTTCATAGTACTGCAGTCATACGAACAATCACTGGAAATAATACATTACTATTTTGAAGTGCCAATACACGCGTGTAAAATTGTCTCAAATCTTTTATATCTCTGCATATTACACGTGGAAATGTAAGAAGAGAACTATCACTGTCCGGTGATAAAGACAATATCCAATGGCCATCTGTAAAGAGACAAAAATAATGATTACACGTGTCGCGAATTTGTACAACGCCCACGCATTCGGTGAACAGAGGCCGTGGATTGTATGCGTACCTTTATTAATCAGGTCAATCGAGCGCGGTTGATGTGACGGGCAGCGCGCGTGGCAGGGCAGGGTGTCGCGGGCACCGCGTCCGTCGCGCGACGCACCGCTCCAAGCAGAAGCACGACAATATTTTCGTAGCGCCCACACGTGCGCGCAAAACATCCGTTCACGGGGCTATTCGCGGCACGCTCACATTCCGACGCCCGCCGTTTTTTCCAACGAACTAAAATAATGCGCGCGACGCCAGAAATATGCCACACGACGTTTGTGCAACCGCTTTTTATCATATTTTGATCCTCGGACATTTTCAGCGGAGATATCAAGGTTGTATCCGCTTCTCCGCATCTCCGTATTCGAACCATCTTTCGCCACCCTATATTTGTTCATCGAAGTTGACGACTCGCATTTTATTTTTTCTACTTCAATTCCTATAGTAGTTTGATTAACAGTTCTACACCTACAATCTCCCCACATAAAACTGTTAATTTGTGTAGGAAGTTTATTTGCATTACATCTATCTTTAGATATATTTGATAAAGTCTAATTTCATTTTCAATGTATTCATAAATGTTTTTCGCTAATTTGTTTACCGATTGTAACATTTTTTATTACACTATACGTGATTCCTGTCATGTTGACCGCGCCGGTCGCTCGGGCCCGTAGAGTGGAGACCTACATATATTTCCTCTCGTTGTCAGAATCAGAGCCCAAGAAAGAATCATATCGCGGAGAGAGCGAAACAATCATTAGAAAATAGTTTCCTGCTACAAGTGAGTCCAAATTATATAATAGCTGCGTAAAGATATCGTGTCATATTCATAGAGAACGCTCAGTATATGTAAAGCTTTGTGAATGGAGCCTGCGTATGTGCGTAGTCCACGCCCCTGCTTGCCGCTACCTCTCTTACGACACCATAAATAACAGCTCCGAGCCAGTACACCCGTTGGATATGACACAATGTTTTTGCTAATTTTCAAATTACAAACTTTAACAGTGTGATCTATAGGATTATTGAATATTTTTAAAAATATACTGAATAATATAAATGTTTGGTTGGTTCGTGTATGTTTGGATGCCACCAAACATGTTCTATGTTGTTGAATGAGAATACGGCACATTGTGCATTCAATATACTTTATATAAATTGTACTATAGCTATTCAGGCACTGTAGCATGATTGTTTTTGTATTTGTTTGTTATATTGCTTATCATTTCACTCACTACCTACATCATGACACTTGACCACTAAGATAGACGCATTATTGTTAACCAATGCGAGTGGTAGAGTTTCTCCCACAAACAACATGAATATAAAGTCATCTGTTGTGCTATACGGTATAAAGAAAATATTAATATAATTTTAATATAATAACAAATCATAAACTCATAATATATTTACGAAATTCATAGTAACAACAAAACACTGTCCAGTAGGTAGTGTAATGAATGAAATACTACTCACAGTGAGCGTTTCACATGCCGATGATTCACTAACAACGCCACGACGGTGACGGGTCGAGTGCGCTCACCTCTCATCACACGGGATTCTGTTTCAGCTGAAGAAGCAGCAGCAACTGCAGCAGGAGATCTTGCTGCAGTCCTTCCAGCAGCAGCGGCAGCAACTCGCGCAAGAACATGAACAACAGCTCAGGCTTCACTTTAAGGTGAATTTGAGTTCAATTACGAAATTCACGTCACAAACAGCAACACTTCCTTGTATTATCTGACCTTCAACCTATCCAGCGCTTTTTGTTTTTACCTACACTTTCCTTATGAATTTTTCCTCTCGAGTCTTTCTTTAATGTTATTATTAGATTAATAATTTAGCCAAATAATGCGAAGTCATTTATCTTTCCTTGTTTGAGGCACAATAACTTGATTTTATTTTTAAGTGAGGGTGTGGCTTTTTATCGACAATATGATGAATTTTTTTTAAATCAGTAACCGAGTCAACTATTGTAATTTTCTAATAATACATAAATACCGAAAACGTTTTAAAGAATCGTATTCTGCGCATCTATAGGTAGGTAGGTAACAAAGCTAGTACCTGTAACGGTAGCAAGCAGCAAGCAGCAAGCAACACGCGTTGATCTCTCTTTAGTTCACGTCATGCTGTATGCTGTTCTTAAATTCAAATTATCTTTATTCAAATTAATTTGTTTACAAGCATTTTTAGGTAGTAATATTTTTTAATCTACTGCATGATTCGAGAAGTTGTTACCTGTTGAGAAGAGCCCGCAAGAAACTCAACAGTTACTCTTTTAAGTCTCTGTTAACGTTATGTGTATTTATTTAAATGTACTTAATTAATAGATGCTATTATGAATTATTAATAGAGTTCATTTGGTTCGATCTATATTTGGATGTTTATATTAATAGTAATATTTATTATTGACATAACATCGGCGCGTGTTCGGCGCAATTGAAACAAAATTAAAACAGTGTAGCCAAGTGCTTCCTATTCAGATACTTTTATATATAAGCGCGCTTGCCATACAGAATAGCTGGAATTTGACAAATATAGTTGGCTCGGCCCGACGATGGGCGTCGACGCTATGGTATAAATAGTCATGAATGGTGGTCGAGCAGTCCGTAATTACATCATTCACGCGCTCGTTATGTGACCACATTTAACCTCATTGACATACACAACCTGGAACAATTTGATGCGACATTTTTATTGTTCTCCCCGACACTGGCCAGTTAACATCACAAGCGGAATATGACGAGGCCTATAGTAGTTTTTAATGCCACAGCTTACCTGTTGCACTTCGAACGAATAAACGATATTAATTCGATCTCTCTGATGATTCAGATCCCTACAAACAAGAGTACGAATGTACAAAAGTTATTTATTTATTACTCGTGATAAAATTGATTGAGAGCATCTTTTAAATTACTAAAACAACTGTGTGTTCGTAAATTAAAAGTTAATTTTATCGTTTACATATAAATAAACCAATGCCAGAACAAACACTGAAATAAACGAAACTAATCAGACAACATTTACGTTGTAAAGAATTACGCAACGGTTAATTTATTTACAGTTAGACATTTGATAAAAATATAATTAGTTTAATATCTTAATATTTCTACAACGATAGATGTTGTCCGTGTGTCACTCATTATATTAGCTCTTAACTGTCCACTGCTGAACATAAGCCTCCCCCTTGGGGGTTTTGCCAGTGGTTGCCACGCTTGACAGGTGAATTGGCAACCGCAGTTAGGTTTTGGAGATATTTTAAGAGGTACGCTGCTACCCATCCCCCGTCCTCCCTTAGTCACTTCTTACGACACCCACGGGAAAGGAAGGGGTGGCCTATTCTATGCGGGGACCACACGGTATGTATATTGTAATATTATATAATTTCTACTTATAAGTGGATATCGTCAATAAACAGTGTATTTTAAATTGAGCACACTATACGAGTCTGTCTCGTTAGTTACTCGCTATAAATATAAAAATTTAATTAGCCCCAAAATAACTTAAGGAAATCGTTCAAATAAATAATGGGAAATTTTCCAAAATATTCAAGAGTGGGCGGTGACAAAAATATATGCTTAATTTTGTAGCATTCGAAATTAACAGCGCTTTCAAATTACATGTTTCCGTTTAGAAGATAGAGTTGGTATGCGATTTGGCGTCCACCTGTCTACATGCACGTCAACGGTAAACATCATGTCAGCACGCTCACAGGATCGTTAGCGTTAGAATAATTCAACACACACAAACACGACTGTTACTATAAATTTAAAAATTACTACATCTAGATAGGAAAAACCTTAAAATAATGATAGGGACAATAACGGGTCATTGTCCATTAAACAAACATATTATACACAATAAGAGCCACAGACAGCCCTCTATGTCGAGGCTGTTTCGACGCCGAAGAAACGGCTGCTCGCGTAATCCTGGAATGTGAGGCTGTGGCCCATCAACGTTTAAAAATCCTCGGAACGGTGAGGTCGCTCCGTGAGGCCTGTGAAGATCCCAGGAAGCTTCTGTACTTCTGGGCGGAGCTGGGTTGGCTGTACTAGCCACGACTCATACACACAACAGCCAAAAATGAGAGGCTAAGCGCGGAAAATGGAGTCCAATCTACATTACATTACAAATATAAAAATTGGTCAAATTTACGTTTTTCATAGCTGTTATTTATTGATTTGAAAGAAAGCGATGTAGAAATGTGAAAAGGTATGCTACATTTATTCAGTTGCATGTAGAAACAATATCGGATATCAGAAGAACGAAAATAAAAGATAACAAGTCAAATAACTGGAAGAGATGCCGCTAAGTCCACAGGGGTTGTGTTTAACTCGTGAACGTATTCTTATATTATATATACATATATAATTTTGTTGTTGCATTGGTTTGGCCATTTGGAGAAGAAGAAAGAAGAATTATGAAAAAGATTTATCGAGCAAGAATGAATGGATATGTCGGTAGGGGCCGCCCTAGTCGGACGTATATTGACCAAATAGGCGATGTACTGAAGAAAAGATTGATGAATGTGGAAGAAGCGAAAGAGGTTTGTTTGAATCGAAGCATTTGGCGTTCCATTGTTTCTGCCTACCCTAATAGGAGACAGGCGTGACAGATATGTATGTATGGTAAGCCTTACAGATTTACCAATGCACTCACCAAAAATAAAAAATAATACATCAATGGAGGAAAGACATAATAAAACAATTGTAATTATATTTTAAAATTAAACATTAAAAATGCAATTCTGCATAATTTGTTACCGCCCTATTATTATTAATCTTTTATACATTAAATTTTAAATAAACAAATGAAAAAGGTGTAAAACGTAAAAATGGAAAACCTATACCTGAATATAAAAGTAGATCTATGTTGCTACACGATGATCAGAGAAATCAACGCCTCCAATGTGCATGCATGAGAGGAGTTATAAGAATAGACGCGAGAGATGTAAAGAAAGGTAGAAATCTCTGTGACACGGTTTGGTCTGTACGCCCTAGGATAAAGGGCCTGCAGTGTTGATACACGTGGATAGATCAAAGACGTAGCATATCTTGGCCAATATTGAAGCCAGTTTGTTTTGGAGAACTAATTAATAAGGTAGCTACATATATGTTTTGCGAATATTTACAAAACAAGTGAGGGCTCTCAATCGCACTCGTGGCTGACACATTCTGCGTAGTTATACGATTATTCATCAATGAAAATGTAACAATGTGCGAGAACAGTGTATAGTATGTAATAACCTGCTAAATGATCACATTGGTTACATATAATTGGCCTTTATAATGTAAATTAAGTCAATATATTATTTGACGCACCATTTTCTCGTCGATGCGATATTTTGTTTTTGCTTTAATAATTCGATGTAGATCTTTAAATGCAATGCAAGTAGCTTTCCGCTGTGATCAATGTAATATTACACAATTATTGTGAATTAATTATTATTAACTAACGTTTACCCGCGACTTCACCTGCTTTACCCAGATATACTCGTATTGATTGATCGGAATAAAATATCCTCTGTCTATACTAGATTTCGCATCGATTGTGTAGAGTAAGTTTAAGGCTTAAGAAGTAACAAACAGATACTTTTTCACATTTATAATATTAATAGGGACAGAGAGAATGATTACAACCTATGCACAATAACAACGACTTCCTCACAAGTCTTACTTAAACTCTGATTTGAGTTCTCATTCGTCATCCGACAATATTATTTCCGATCAATGCAACATCGAAAAAGGACCATGAGAATGCCACAGAGGTCCTTATTTATAATAATAAAGCTTTTCAAATTAACTTGATCCGGGAAGTATTTATGAATAATATTTTATTCAGTAAATGTTCAGCTAATTAGGTAAAATGCGGATAGTTGTACGCTTAGGTAGACGTGGGCGGCTCAAAATGTTTCAGTTACGGGCATATTATTATCACCAATTGTCTTGTTTCTACCCCGAATAAATGTTTCAATTCCGACGACAATAAAACTTCTTTGAAGTGGTAACGCATATGTATGATAGGTTTATACTGTTCACTGCTGAACATAAGTCTTCCCCAGAAGGGGAGTTTTGCCAGTACTTGCCACACTTGGCAGGCGGATCGGCAACCGCAGTTAGACTTTAGAGATGTTTTAAGAGGGACGCTGTTATCCATCACTTGTTCTCCCCTAGTCCTCTCTTACGACACCCAGGGGAAAGGAAGATGTGGCCTATTCTATGCCGGGACCACGAGGTCATTATTATTTGTTATGAATTCTCAATATTCACATAATATTCGTTTTCTCACATATGAATGAACAAAGAGTGTATGTATATTGAATGTTCCCTGTTTTCAGATGTGGGAGCAACAGAAGGCGGAGGCGGCGCTGCGAGAGGCGCGCGAAGCGCGGGAGGCGCGGGAGGCGCGCGAGCGACACGAGCGGGACCGGGTCGAGCTGCTGCGGAAAAAGGACAAGCTGGAGCCCAGCGCCAACGCCTCCACGCAGGTCAAACAGAAGCTGCAGGTCAGTTGGCCACCTTCTATTTCTAGTGTCAACTCGTATCGGAGATCAACGATCATTCAACACTAGTTTACCTTTAGAGACTGTCCAGAAAAGAGATCTGGCCCTCTAGACAAGTGGCAAGCGAATTCGTCGATGGAATAGACATCGCTAGCGAGTCCGTGAGAAAGATTGAGATAGCAACGTCGGATGTCTCCAACTTACGGACTCGCTAGCGATGTTGATTCCATCGACGAATTCGCTTGCTACTTATCTAGAGGCCCTGGTGCTCATTCCGAATTAGTTTAGAAGATCTTTAGCCCCGAAGGTACTTCTTTGACCAAGTGTACTGCTGCCCTTTATCTACCCTCGAGTAATAATTTGCCCGTTGTTACTCCAACATGCAATAATACAGTATACCCTTTGTCAGCTCCATCTCTACGCTCCCCTTGACCTTCCTAGCAACCAATGTGGAAAATTCCTAGTTAACTCGAGATAGTTGTCTAATTAACGTCACTTCATCTTCACTGGCCCCGCCACCTTTACTGGTAACGTAGGGCGGGATATGGTACAACCCATCCCATTTTCGTGTCCTAAAAATATAGAACGGCTTTAGTGCTAAAGATTTTAAATAGCCAATAGATTTCTTAAAGACGTCTTTAGGTCCAATACTTACTATCGTTCCCTCGTCCAAATAATATATTTTGATAAATAAAAGACCATATTCGTTATTTGTAAATCGACAACCATGACCCCATCAAAGTTGTTGAAAGCTATCAATTCTCCATAGGCGACGGTGCCCGTACAAGCCAACCGTCCGCTCACTTGAAGCAAGACATTGCAACTAGATAACCAATATTATCACAATCACACCTCGACGGAACATCGTCAGGTATTTAATTTTGGACCCATACATGGAAAACCGAATTGAACCCGCGTCAAAAGTACCAAGAATCGCTAATTACAAGTCGCAGTACATCGCCTCAGCGACTCGAAGGTTGTTTATGTTACTAATAATATTATTATATCGATTCCAGGAATTTCTCAAGAAAAAACAAGCCGCCGCGAATGCCAATGGAACAGTGCCCGGCTCACCGTATAGGAATTGGTATGCGTTGCAACCATTCATATTTCTTGGATGTTATTAAATTTTTATGTTGCCAGCATCAAGAATATTCAGATTTTGATTTATGTATAGCCAGTGTTCACCGGGCTTCGTCACTCGACCTGTCAGCGTGGCCGGAACACGTTAATTGAACGAGATAAAATGTAGCCAAGTAGACTGCGTCCTTCAAATTCAAATCATCTTAACAAACAATTCAAATAGACTTGTTTGTTACGAGCATTTTTAAAGCGTCATTTTTTATGAATTTATTGCGAGGTTCGGAATGTTGTTGTCAGCTGAGAAGAACCCGCAAAAACTCAACAGTTACTCTTTTAAATCTCAAATGTACTGTGTCTAAAATTATATGGTCATTAAATCTTAATTATGGTCATAGTACACCATGATATGCAAAAGTCGTTTGCTTGGGTACCTCTGTCCCATTCGTGTTTCTACCGTGAAGCATTATTTTGCATGGCTGTTTCGGTTTAAAGGACAGTGGATTAACAAGGTACAGAGGCATAACACCTGAGTCCTCAGGAATGGTAACGCATGGAGGGGGGGGGGGAGGGGTGTATCATGGGCGAAACAGTACACTCTGTTATGTCCGTGGTACTGCTCATGTCTATAGGCGACGGTTACCACTTTGCATCAGGTGGGTCGTCAGCTTGGTTGTTATAGTAAGTTGCATAAAAAAAATCTCGCAGAGTCGAGTTGCTTATTCGTTTGTTTATATTTTCATCAAAGTCTCTTGAAACAGACTTCAATATGTATAAGCAGTATTAGCGTCAGTTATGATTGCGGATATTCTAAAATAGCAATGACGTTATTTGTGTACCAAACAAATATGTTGGTAGTGTAATTTAAAAAATATAAGCAAATATAAATAATAATTAAATGATGTCATAGTTAGTCCACGGTATTTTTGTTTCAAAACAAATATACGTTTGGCAAGTATTAAATAAGATTTTTTTTTTATACCTTTTTGTATCCACGAGTACTACATCTGTTGTTTGGGAACTTGTCAATTATTTTCTTTTTGCCGCCAAAATTCGAATTGTCAATAACAATTTAATAAAAATGTTATTGTATAGTTTTAGTTCGTTATCAGCAGTTCTATTTTTTAATCTAATATCAATCCAATCAATTTTTTTTGATGGATGAATATGGTATGGTAACCCCGCCTGCGCTAACGGGATACGCTGGCGGAGCACCAGTGAAGGGCGATAGATGAGAATGAAAACAGGCCAGTTAGCCCATCATGATGAATTCATCAGGAATTAACCATGATAGTTTCCAGGGGGAACCGCGAGGAGGTCGACCTGGTTGGGTATATTGTTAGCAATGGGATTCTCAGTCTCCATTACTAAAAATCCCTTTCCCCCCAATCCAATCTATTGCCAATGACAGTTTTATACTGCATTTGTGAAACAACAGTTAGGAATTAGCTTATAATTGGGATCGGTTTACAATAGTTTGCATTGGCAAGTTGCACTAATATGTAACTATCAGAACAATATGGTACCATTATGTCGCTAGTGTTGCAAGTCGAGAGTGCGAAACGTCTCAATTACAATATCGATATAATGGAGTTTATTTCAAGAACATTTTTTTTTAAATAATCATTTAGTAATATTGATCTGATTGATTTATTGACAACGCCGAACGCCTCCTATAAATCACGCCATTCTTACACCTCAACGCTTTAGACCTTGTCGCCGCCCTTACAGCTTTGTGCTGCTTCCGATAGTTTTCAAGTTGAACACGTTCCGTACAGGGGCATAGTGAAGTCGTCGTCGGGCGAGTCGATCACGTCGACGGGCGCGACGGCGACGGCGCACCCGTACCGGCTGGCCGGGCCGCTGCCGCTGGCGCTCAACGCAGCGCCCGCGCAGCCCTCGCCCGCCGACTACCCGCTGCGCAAGACAGGTACTCTATTGGCACTCTACTCGCTCGCTCGCTCGCTCGGCCTCCGTCGCTTGCACGCGTGCTGGCTTGTCTTACTCGCTGCTCAGAAGCGGCACGAGGAATAAATACTATGAGCAGCACATTCGATGGATAATTAGTAATAATATAACCCGCGAATTTTCAATTTGTGTTCGATTTCTTATTTCAAAAATAAATTGTAAATTTAAATTTAGAATGCAATAATGTTACCGACCTAAGCAGATTTCTTTTTTTTTTTTTTTCATTGTTCAGTGAAAACATAACTAATTGTATGGTTACATCAATTTAGCCGTTCTGTTGTTGTGAATATTGTCATATTGATGGGTGCTGTTCATGTATTAAGAAAACGGTTATGATTTTAAACAAGGCGCTCGTTGGTTTGTTTGCCATTGCTCCCCACAGATACTGTTGTGTGTATAAACGGATTTGTTTTTGTTTAGTTTTAATCTCATAATCGTCGACTTGACAGTAACGTGAAAAAGCTTCAGGATATACGAGCGAGCCGAGCGGCTGCATGACGCGTGAATATCGACGTCTAATATATTATGTATATATATATATATATATATATATATATATATATATATATATATATATATATATATATATATATATATATATATATATATATATATATATATAATCAGTTCAATGTCCACGAATGGTTTTTGATATTTCTTTTTATATATACATTATATGATACTAACAGATATACATAGTGAAGGTATTGATGTGCAGTTGAAAGAATGAAATAAAAACCCTTTATTGTTCCCCTTAAATAATACAGATTACATATGCTTATTATATGTAAAAAAAGCAAAACAAGATAAAGATGCAATAGTATCGCTTTAAAAAAAACATTTTTTTTTTAATTAATATTTAACATACAGTGAGTGACACCGTGTGGTCCCGGTATAGAATGCTACCCCTTCCTTTCCCGTGGGTGTCGTAAAAGGAGACTAAGGGAACTTATTGGTCAGGGGACGGGCAGCAGCGTCCCTCTTTAAACATTACCAAAACCTAACTACAGTTGCTGGCTTAGCAAACGCGCGCCTGCTACTGATAAAACTTCCCTTATGGGTTAGGCCTATGCCCAGCAGTGGACAGTTAATGGCTGAAATAATAATAATACAGTGAATAAAATAAAAAAAATCATCATATCAGCCTTTAACTGTCCACTGCTGAACATAAGCCTCCCTCTTGGGAGTTTTTGCCAGTAGTTGCCACGCTTGGCAGGCAGGTTGGCATCCGCAGTTGGCTTTGTAGATGTTTTAAGAGGGACACTGCTGTCCATCCCTCGCCCTCCCTTAGTCGCCTCTTACGACACCCACGAGACAAGAAAAGGTTGGCCTGTTCTATGCCGGGACCATACGACCAACTGTTAATATACAAGATAACTATATTACCAGAGGGAGACTTTGTACAAAAGTCGATTGCTTGGGTACCTCTGTCCCTTTCGTGTTTCTACCGTGAAGCAGTTGTTTTTTTTTTTTATGGGTGATAATGTTATGGTAACCCCGCCCGCACCAACGGGTACGCTGGCGGAGTACCAGTGAAGGGTGATAGATGAGAATGAAAACAGGCCAGTTAGCCCATCATGATGAATTCATCAGGAATTAACCATGATAGTTTCCAGGGGGAACCGCGAGGAGGTCGACCTGTTTGGGTATATTGCTAGCAATGGGATTCTCAGTCTCCATTACTAACAATCCCTTTCCCCCCGAAGCAGTTGTATTTGCATGGCTGTGTTTCGGTTTGAAGGGTGGGATATGGTGTGAATTTACTGGGTACAGAGGAATAACACCTGAGTCCTCAGGAATGGCAACGCATGGGGAGTATCATGGGCGAAACAGTATACTCTGTTATGTCCACGGTACTGCTCATGTCTATAGGCGACGGTTACCACTTTCCATCAGGTGGGCCGTCAGCTTGTTTGCCATTCTAAGTTGTAAAAAAAAAATATCTTAATTGTAATCATGTAACTGCTAATTTTAGTCATAAAAAACAAAAAAAGACGTATAATACCGCTAGTGTTGCAGGTATTTATATGCTATGGTAACCATTTACCGATCATTACGTGGGCTGTATGCTTGTTTACCATCTTAGATAGATAGATACTCTTTATTGTTTTCTCCAAAAGATTACAATAGTAAACTAATTATAAAATATAAATAATTATAGTGAGAAAACAATGGGCGACCTTATCGCTAAAAGCGATCTCTTCCAGGCAACCCTTGCATGGAGAGGAGTATTTAAAAACAGTCTTAGTGGTATAAGAAAAAAAAAAAAACACTTATAAATTCATATCTTTAAAAAAAACATATTTTTGTAACAAAATGTTAACATATTGTTCTAACAAAAAAGGGACATGGGCTTCACTTTGAACCACAATTTATTGGCTAAAATTTTTTTGATACTTAAAATTGTCTTGTGCGTCAAAGTCCAATTCATCGTGATTAGGTGTGAAATTGATTGATAATTTCGATTAGTCCACACGAAGCTTACGGTCGTTTTTAACACATAACATGATCCATTGTCTAAATTCCTGGACGTTGAACTGCGTATTAATTAATTGAAGTGTTTCTTATTAATACAGTAAATATTAGAGCACTAATCGCGTTTATTATATTATAACAGCAACCGTGTGTACTTGTTGTAAAATGTCCGTTTGTAGTGTGCATCGTCGTATAATTTAATTTATTTATTTATTTATTTATTTTAAATTTAATATTACATCTGGAATCAACAGCTTATATTTAGAATAATAAAAAATATTACATTTACACCACACATTAGACAATTACAGATTCCCAATTTGTATACCAGACAATATTACGCTTGTTTTTTGGAGGGTAGGTTAAATTAAATAGAAAAAAATAAAATAGAAAAGAAAATCTGTGGTGTTACTTATTTGAAACGTCGCAACACTGGAAGTTCAGCAATAACTAGTGTAAAAATGTGTATTATTCGTGTGTGTAGTGTTGCGTGAATGTGGTGTACAAAGAAACAAAATGTCATGGGGTGTACAAAAAAAAAGTGTATTGTGCGCGTATTGTTTTGTATGAAGGAAGGGTTTTTTTTAATGGGTGAAAATGGAATGATAACCCCAAAATTCGGAAAAATAGTTCTCTCTGATTCCGATACGTTGTTTTCGGTGGGTAAGTAGGCGGGGTCTAGAGTTTTATAACTTTATTTAGTATTTATTCTACACTACAAACGGAATATTTAATAATAATTATTGTAACGTACAAACCCGTTCCAATCAATTGTGTATCATTTCGTAAAGAGATTTTCATTTGAAGTTGATTTGATCAGATATATACATTTACTTCTTGTTAAATTCTATTGGAATGGATTTCGTATTAATTCTACCCTCTTACTTAGAAATTTATTCGGTCGCTCATTGCTGTATTATATTATTTTTTTATAATTAACATATAATGTATAAACCACATTAGTTATTAATCACCGGAGCACTGTAATTTTTAAAAGTAAGAGAGGTTCATTTGTACATAATAGTAGACGTTGTCGCGACAAACATATGCAACACTACACAAGCTCCTCTATATATAGGTGAAGTAGACGATCAGAAGCTGCATGTTGAGTCGCCCAATTTTTTTTTTATATACATATTATTACAGTTTATTTACATTGTAAATCTCGATGCGATAGAATCGTACTTGTACGATTAATATATTGTAAAATAAAATAAAAAATCTATCGTCGGAGCGCATGCGTAGTGTTGCATGACGAGTTGTCCCGTGTAGTGTACGGTACGGTACAGTACGGTACAGTGGTTAGACATAATCCGGTAGTGTTGTACGTATGAGCAATGCGCAACGTTAGCTACGAGTATGAGAGTAACCAAGCATGCGTGTGCACTAACCGCGCAGCGTCCGAGCCCAACATGCTGAAGGTGCGGCTGAAGGCGCGGGTCATCGAGCGCCGCGCCTCGCCGCTCGCGCGCCGCCCGCTCAAGACGCGCGTCAAGCACCGCAGTGAGTACGCGCCGCCACACCACACCACACCACACCACACCACACGACACCACAACGCGATACATGCTGTATATAGGCAAAGAAAACTGTTAAACTTGAGGGTGCTATGTAACATACGTATTTTTACTTATCAATTCGAATGTACTAATTTCAAATATGTGTTATTAAATTTAAAAATCCTTTACAAACTCCTTTAAAAATAACTTTTTGTTGTGTTAATGTAGCTGGGGATATTGTGATCGAGTGTATTTTCAATTATCTACTAAGTAGTTTTACAAATTGGTGCCGTGACCAGGACTTAATTTAATCGATCATGAATTACTTTTTAATAATAATATAGGTATACAGTACAAATAAATTTAGTAGTAAAACAGCAAAGTAATTATAGTAATGTATAATATTTTTACTCTATCTACACAAATAACAATTATTAAAAAAAATTAAAAGTAAAATAAAAAACTATTAATTAAAAGTACGTATACTGTTTATGTAAATATTAAAGTGTCGATTTCCCGCAGACTGCGACGGTGGGTCTCCGCGAGGCTCGCCACCGGGCGCGGGCGCGGCGGCGGGCGCGGGCGGCAGCGGCGCGACGGCGCCCATCCGCGAGGAGGAGGAGTGCCCGCGCGCGCCCGAGCTGCTGTTCTCGTCGCCCTCCATGCCCAACATCTCGCTGGGCCGGCCGCACGCGCCGCCGCCGCGTCACCCCGCGCACGCCGCCCACCCCGCACACCCCGCGCACCCCGCGCACGCCGCGCACCCGGCGCACGCGGCGCCCGCGCAGCCGGTTAGCACCACACGTTGTTGTTTTATTTCAAGCCTTGACCTCCTTTTGAATGTAACGGACAGTAAAGAAGATATTTTGGTGGCAGGTGGGCGTGTCGCTACCTCCCGTATCAGAGGCGGAGGCGTTCTGCGCGAGCGGGGCGGCCGGCACGGCGGCGGGCGCGGGCGCGGGCGCGGCGGCGGCGGCGCTGGGCGCGCGGCTGGCCAAGCGGCCGCTGGGCCGCACGCACTCGGCGCCGCTGCCGCTCGGCGACCCCGCCCTGCAGCCGCCCACCGCGCACCACTATCTGCGCGACCAGATACGCAAAACGGTACCTTGTCCTTTGTTACTTCTTTCCGCTAGATGAACACTTTTCATGTCGCATATAATTGTTTAAATATGTAATGTTATATAATTATACAAACAACAATAATACTTTATGTAAATTACATAACATTTGTTCCTAAGATGACGAAATAAGAACACACTAATTTACTATTACAATTATCTCCAAGATATAATTATCCTGTTTCTAAAATTAAATATAGAAGAAGCAAAACTTGAAATAAATTATTAGTACCCGGCTTTCCAGTACATGTATGTTTAGTAGACACGATTATTCGGTGTTCGCAGGTGCTGACGCGGGCGCACGACGCGGCGGCCGCGCAGCTGCGAGAGGAGGAGGGCGAGGTGATCGACCTGACAGCGCGGCGCGCCGAGCCCGCGCCGGCGGCGGGCGTGGCGGCCGGCGCCGCCGCGCCAGCTGCGCCGGCCGCCGAGCCCGCGCCGCTAGCACGCGCGCTGAGCTCGCCGCTGGTGGGCGCGCGGCCGCCGGCCACCGGGCTCGCGTACGACCCGATCATGCTGAAGCACGGGTTAGTAGGGGGCGAGCGTGTAGTGGGGGGGGGGGGGGGGGCGGGGGCGGGCAGGCTCGGCGGGCCGGGATCGCTAACGCGGCGGACGTGTGCAGGTGCGCGTGCGGCGCCCACGCGCCCACGCACCCCGAGCACGGCGGGCGGCTGCAGTCGGTGTGGGCGCGGCTGTGCGAGACCGGGCTGGCGGCGCGCGCGCGCCGCACGCGGCCGCGCAAGGCGTCGCTGGAGGAGCTGCAGGCCGTGCACGCGGACGCGCACGTGGCCGTGTTCGGCGGCGGCGGCCGCGCGCGCGCCGGCGACGTGCGCCAGCTGGTGCGCCTGGCGTGCGGCGGCCTGGGCGTCGACTCGGACACGGCCTGGAGCGAGCCGCACACCGCCGCCGCCGCGCGCATGGCCGCCGGCGCCGTGCTCGACCTGGCGCTGCGCGTCGCCACCGGCGACCTGCGCAACGGGTACGCACGCGCACCCACACACGCACACACGCACACACACGCACCTTATACTAACATACGATCATGTTATATTTACGTCGATAAAAAATCAAACCCAAGTACTTCATAATCGAAACTTGCTTTAAAATCTGTAAATTTTAAGGTGTACGAGGGCTACACTGAAAATTTTTTGAACTGGCTACTTGAAAGCAATATAATAAAGAAAATTGTTAAAATTTTGAAAATGGGACTATTTACGAAATTATTCGTAAATAGTCCCATTTTCAAAATACGAATAAATTATATATTCAGTATTAACTGAATATATAATTTATTCGTTTATCATTTGTTTTACGGTTTGGCGACAAATGGAAAATAGTCTGTGTAACATTATCATGAACTTAACACGAGAAAATTTTCGTGCGATGACTTTCGATGTCAACTAAGTCAACAAGAAAGTTATGATAGACTACGATTGGCCTTTCACGATGAAACCCCGTCCTTTGCCACTGTTTACAACTGGTTTAATGAGTTTAAACGTGGTCGCACTAATCTCACCGATGATGTGCGTGAGGGATGACCTTCTACGGCGACGACTAAACATCAGTGTTGTGCGGCGTATGATAAAGACTGACAAAAGAGTGACCTATCAGCAGATCCGGGCAAGCTGAGGGATTTGTATGAGCCATGTGCACAAAATCCTTCATGAACATATAACGGTCAGGAAACTTAATGCTCGGTGGATACCTCATAATTTGACCGAGGCTCAAAAACTCCGTCGTATTGATTGGTGCCGTGAAATGCATGAAAGATTTAACTGAGGTGACTCAAATTCTGTGTTTGACATAGTTACGGGAGACGAAAACTGGATTTACTGTTATGATCCCAAAACGAAAAGACAGTCAGCTCAATGGGTGTTTCCTTCCGAGAAGTTGCCAACTAAAGTGAAGAGAGGTCTAAGCGTGGGAAAAAAGATGGTCGCCTCGTTCTTTGGAAGGACAGGTCATTACGCGACAATTGTTTTAGAGGATCGAAAAACAGTTACTGCAGAATAGTACAGTAATAATTGTTTGCCACGTGTTTTGGAAAAAGTGCGTGAGAAACGACCTCGCAGTAGGATCCTCCTTCACCACGACAATGCTTCGTCGCACACCGCCAGGCAAACGATCGATTATTTGGCGACCTCAGATGTAGAACTACTGGGTCATCGGCCTTACAGCCCCGACACCGCATCTTGCGATTTTTATTTATTCCGAAAAATAAAAAAAAAAACTTCGAGAAAAACGTTTTATGGACGCCGAGGAAGCTGTGGCTACGTTTCAGAAGGTCGTCGCAGAGATCCCTAAGGACGAATGGGCAAAGTGCTTTTCTCACTGGTTTTTCGGATGCAGCGATGTATTGACGTAAATGGGTACTATTTTGAAAAGATAAAATAAAGGTAAAAACTTGCTAATTTAATCAGTTTTTTATTTTCTAAGGACTTTCAGTTTGACCTTCGTATCTCACGGACGCTCCTGTAAGAAAACATTAAAAAGCTTCCCTTCTGTTAAACAATGTTTCTCAAATACATATCTCTGAGTAGTGCTACGCAGTATGTTAACGAAATCACTATTGCATCTCAGGTTCGCGGTGGTACGGCCGCCGGGCCACCACGCGGAGGCCAACCAGGCGATGGGCTTCTGTTTCTTCAACTCCGTCGCAGTCGCCGCCCGGATACTGCACACTAAGCTTAAACTGCAAAGGATACTCATCGTTGACTGGGTGAGTACATTAACAATTCTATTGGTTTAAAAATAAAATAAAAACATGTAAATACATGTATTTAATTACATTTTACAAGCTATTTTAGTAAACACGATTGCATTCATTTGTTGAGCAAACATATAAAAAAAAAGAATCCTAATCTTTCTTTTCGGCCAGTCTGTTTGTTATTGCAAATGAGTTGAAATGATTTTGAATGTGACATGCGCGCGGCAGGACGTGCATCACGGCAACGGCACGCAGCAGATCTTCTACTCGGACCCGCACGTGCTGTACATGAGCATCCACCGGCACGACGACGGCAACTTCTTCCCGGGCACGGGCGCGGTCACCGAGTGCGGCGCGGGCGCCGGGCTGGGCTACAACGTCAACGTGGCCTGGAGCTCGGGCTCCGACCCGCCCTACGGCGACGCCGAGTACCTGGCCGCGTTCCGCTCCGTCATCATGCCCATCGCCAAGGTAACGATAAACGCTCCACACTCTCCTGTAGTCGCTTGTTTGGGTCAAAAATGTAGATTTTTTAATAGTTACGATGATCTATAAATTTCAAATAAATCTTATACGAAACTGTTAATATTTATATAAAAAAAAGTAACTAGCGATCACCCCGGGTCAACCCGGGATCACAGCATTATAGTTCGCAAAGTTTAAGTTTTCGAGTGCGGTGGTAGAAACAGCAATTGCGACGAGCGGCCTCGAATATAGTTAGTGGGTGTCAGGAGTTCGAGCCGGAGGTGGTGCTGGTGTCGTGCGGGTTCGACGCGGCGGCGGGGCACCCGGCGCCGCTGGGCGGGTACGCGGTGTCGGCGGCGTGCTTCGCGCACATGACGCGCGAGCTGATGTCGCTGGCGCAGGGCCGCGTGGTGCTGTCGCTGGAGGGCGGGTACGAGCTGCCGGCGCTGTGCGACTGCGCGGCGGAGTGCGTGCGCGCGCTGCTGGGCGAGCGGCTGGCCGCGCCCGCGCTGCACGAGCTGGCGCGCGCGCCGCACCCGCGCGCCCAGCGAGCGCTGCGCCGCGCCATCGCCGCGCACGCGCACCACTGGCCCGCCGTGAGTACCGCACACGCACACGCACACTCTCCATACACATTCTGCAATATATCACAGCGCGCACTTTTTGCCACACTAACCTTAAAACGTTGGGCTCGGCGCCGGTCCCTGGGGACCGGCACTAGAATTTTCCATGTAACCGACGTCGGTCCCTGGGGATCGACACTAGAATTTCCCGTGTGGCCAGCATCGATCCCTGGGAACCGGCACTAGAATTTTCGTTTGAATGGCGTAAGTTTGTGAGACCGACAGTATTAAAGTTAAGAAATAAAATTAATCTCAATAAAATGTGATCAAATATAATTTTAATAAAATTTATAGAAACATTCTAAACAAAAATGCGGTTTATCTTTCCACATATTACAATACGCAACAACTTTTCTTATAATATTTGTTGCTGTCATTCGTCTAAAACGTCCAAAATAGCGCAACAAAAAATCCCTTATCTCATTAGTACTAATCTCTTGGCGATAGCATACAACATTGTATCTCTCGCCGGCTGCCGACTCAACAGAAAGGACAGCAAATTCGACGCCGGGCTTACCGTGTTAACTACACACGTACACATTGTCACATATAACATATAAACGTTACTTCTTATTTGTCGTTGTGACAACAAATGTGGTATAATACATAAAGGACATGTGGCGTACAGGTAAAGCAGTACAGCGAGACGGTGGGCCTGTCCGCGCTGGAGGCGGGCGCGGCCGGCAACGCGGGCGTGGGCGCGGGCGCGGCGCGGGGCCGCCTGCAGACGGAGCGCGACGCCGCCGACACCGCCGCCGCCATGGCCACGCTCTCCATGCACCAGGCGCCGGCCTGCACGCCCGCGGCCCTGCAGTCAGTACCGCCGCGCACTACACTGCACTGCACTACACACACCGCACACACCGCACACACCGCACACACCGCACACACCGCCGCCGCCATGGCCACGCTCTCCATGCACCAGGCGCCGGCCTGCACGCCCGCGGCCCTGCAGTCAGTACCGCCGCGCACTACACTGCACTGCACTACACACACCGCACACACCGCACACACCGCACACACCGCACACACCGCACACACCGCCGCCGCCATGGCCACGCTCTCCATGCACCAGGCGCCGGCCTGCACGCCCGCGGCCCTGCAGTCAGTACCGCCGCGCACTACACTGCACTGCACTACACACACCGCACACACCGCACACACCGCACACACCGCACACACCGCACACACCGCCGCCGCCATGGCCACGCTCTCCATGCACCAGGCGCCGGCCTGCACGCCCGCGGCCCTGCAGTCAGTACCGCCGCGCACTACACTGCACTGCACTACACACACCGCACACACCGCACACACCGCACACACCGCACACACCGCACACACCGCCGCCGCCATGGCCACGCTCTCCATGCACCAGGCGCCGGCCTGCACGCCCGCGGCCCTGCAGTCAGTACCGCCGCGCACTACACTGCACTGCACTACACACCGCACACACCGCACACACCGCACACACCGCACACACCGCACACACCGCCGCCGCCATGGCCACGCTCTCCATGCACCAGGCGCCGGCCTGCACGCCCGCGGCCCTGCAGTCAGTACCGCCGCGCACTACACTGCACTGCACTACACACACCGCACACACCGCACACACCGCACACACCGCACACACCGCCGCCGCCACATAATATTTATGTTTTTTATACCTTTTTTTTTCTTTAATATGTAATATTGATGAACTGGCCCACAGGTCGGCGGACAGCTCGCGGTCGGTGTCGGAGGAGCCGATGGAGCAGGACGAGGGCAAGTGAGGCGGCCGGCAGCCGCCCGGCCCCCGCCCCGCCCGGCCCTAGCCGGCCGCCGCCGCCGCCGCCGCCGCCGCAGCAGCAGCAGCAGCAGCGGCGCCTTACTTTTTATATTTAACACTTAAACATTCCCCGCGCGCCCGCTCGCCCGCCCGCCCCCCGCCCGCCCCGCGGACGCCCCGCGGACGCCCCGCGCACGCCACTACTTATTTATTTAGAGCCGACTTTATAGAGAAACGATATTTTGTGGATGATAAATTTAAGAGAGTTTATGTATATTTATGAAGCCGTATACCGTAGCAGTAGAGGGCGGTGGCGTGATTAGCAGGAGGAGGGAGGAGCCGCACGGCGAGGCGCGGTGGGCGGAGGGGGGGTGGGAGGGAGGCGAGGAGGCGGCACGTCGCGCCACGCGCCGTAACGTCGTAAACGAAACGCGTCCTGCCAAATACTTATGTTTTGTAAATCGCGATGTGCTATATGTATATTACATAAAGTGTCTATTCGATGTAATAATTCATAATGAATTAGTAAAGGTATAGAGAATTATATGTGTAGGTGGTAAAGTTAAGACAAATCTTAATTTGAAAGCTTTAAAGAGAGTAGTAAAATATTAATAACGTGTACAAAAGATATTTATATTATATATTTGAATATTTTTAAATATACCTGCGCAGTGTAGGTAGTATGTGTCGTTCGTGCTCTTCGTACGCACCGGGCCCCGCCCCGTGTCTACTGTACCAAAGATTGTTTCCAATACAGAATAACCACGTGTAATACTTCTTTGTTGTATGTACATATATTATACATAAAAGTCTATATATATATATATATATATATATATATATATATATATATATATATATATAATTTGATGATTTCTACGAGAGGAAACGAACTTTTTGTATGAACATGGAATACTGATTTTTTTTCTATGTATACTTGTTAAGTAGAGCCCGACCGCGGCGCGTGTACATAGTGCAGCGGATATATTTATTGGGCCCGGTCGGTTGTCTGTGAAATTGTTCTAATTAAGTATATATTTTGATGGTGATGCCCTCTATTTGTACATTTGTCTATGTGATACAAGTGTTGTACTAAATGCTTATAAAGATACTGATACTACTGCGGGCAGCGCCCGGCGCGGCTCCCCGCCCTTTACATGGCAGATCGCATTGTGACATAGTGTTGACATTGTTTCCGTGCTCGTCACCTGTGTGCACGAGACACGTCCTGTCGCGGACCTTGTGTACAGTTTTATGTACTACGATATGTAGTTTGTACTGTTGTAACAGTTTTGTACCTTTGTTGAACATTAAGCATTGTCTTTGTATAGAACAGATGTTGTCTCCACTCAACACGCACCGTGTTGACGGGGGATACGTTTTCTTTTCACTTCGAACTGCACGCTCATTGGAAGAGTGTCCAGTTTCTTTTGTATTTTCGCTCCAGAATCTCGTATCGCTCGCCACGTGTGAGGTGGCGTGCGTTTGAACTAGTGGCGCGGTACGGTGACGTCTGCAATATTTAATGTTTTCTAGCGATGTTACATCTGACGCGCCCGCCGTTGTACACTGATCTCGATATCCGAGCGAGCGCGATGACGCCGCCGTACCGCGCCCGAGCGTCTGGAGCGGTGCTGTGGATACGTCGCCGACGTAGTTGTTCCGCGGGGCCGCCGGGCCCCGTCTATATTTTTGTATGAAGGCTGTCCGTGTGTGTGTAACTGTATACGTAACGTATATACCTGCCGCTAGGTAGCACGTACCAGAGGGATGCGATCCTTGTACGATAAACAGAGTTAAACAATGTTGTGTCTTTGAAAATTTTATTGTTAAATTGGAATACAGATGAAAGAACTATTTAATAAATGTATATATATATTTGGAATTTTAACTGTATTTTTATTTGGAATCCCTTCATTGCTGTCTAGCTGTATTCCGCAAAATTGGAATAACAAGTATTCTGTCTTTGGCTTTTTATAATAATTATATACTTTATTATTCAAACTACAATGTGGTCCGTTTTGTTAGTAACAATTTTCTTACAAACTACGTTAGTAAAAAAAGAAAAGCAAATTGATTTAATTAAGCAATTCACTGAGATGTGAGCCAGCCGACTAGATCAGCATCTGAATGCAATGCCCAATTATAGGTGAGTTATATTTCTCGCCTGTTACTTTTAGAATGCTGTTGGCGCTTGTCCTAACCCTGTGCAGCAATGATGCAGTCCTCTTTCTCCTTATAGCGTAGTAGTCGTCTACGCGAGATTAAGCAAACATGCTATTAGCGCTACAAAAGCGAGCTAGCCTTAACAGCACTCTAAAACTATTATTGTACTGGATTCGTAGGGCACTGAGTGAGGCCTGTGCGCAGTTGACCCACAGGCTGCTCGTGCAGAATGTTTGGCAGTATGCTTTGAAGAGTGTGATTTTTACTTCTTCACTACAACGGGCAAACCTGCGAGCCAACATGTTACATCTAACAGCCAATGCCCTACGCTCCCTTTCGATATCAGTTTGATCTTTAAGGTCATCAGTAACATAGTGCCCTAGGTATTTAAATTTATGCACTCTTTTTATATTTGCTCCGTGTAATTGGATGTCGGGCACGTTCGTGGGACAAATAAATATCGTAAATATCAAATACTCTGTCTTGTTTACATTGTATTTTAGCCCATGACTCGCTGAGTACGTCTCACACATATGCATAAGCTGTCTTAGGGCTCTAATCGTTGAAATCAGCAGCACCATGTCATCAGCATAGCTAATGTTGTTGACACAGACATTATCTACGTGACGTCCAACACGGCTACTGCCGAGTCCAACAATCGGATCATGTATGTACAAATTGAAGAGCTTGAGCGAGGTTAAACCACCTTGCCTCACTCCGCATTCCAGCTTGTAATCCACGGAAAGCGCATTTCCCCACCGAACGCTGTTTACCTGATTGGTATACCAATACTTCAATATATTAATAAGTCTACCACATACGTTACTGTCTTTAAGCTTTTTCCAGAGGATATCATAAGATACAAGATCAAAGGCCTTGGAAAGATCCAGAAAACATGCAAATATCGGCGTTTGTCTGCTTGTAAGTACTGGAGAGTATGCTTAAGATTCAGAACTGCCAATTCGGTAGATAGCCCAAGACGGAAACCGAACTGAGCATCATGTAAATGTAGATGTTTGTTCAAATATGAGTCAAGCAAACCGTCCATCACCTTAGATACAACAGTTGCCAGTGAAATAGGTCTATAATTGTTACAGTCCGAGATATCACCAGTTTTACTTTTTAAAATTGACACAACCACCGTTTTAATTAATTTGGTGGGTAAATACGCATGACTTAAGCAAAGGGAAAAGAACATTGATAAAACTCGCGGAAGATGCACTCCGGTATACTTGAGATATTCTATGCTTTATGCAACTTAGAATGGCAACAAACTGATGGCCCACCTGATGTAAAGTGGTAACCGTCGCCTATAGACATGAGCAGTACCATGGACATAACAAAGTTTCGTCCATGATACGCCTCATGCGTGGCCATTCCTGAGAACTCAGGTGTTATTCCTCTATACCCTGTAAATTCACGCCGTATCCCACCCTTCAAACCGAAACACAGCCATGCAAACACAACTGCTTCACGGTTAAAACACGAATGGGACAGAGGTGCGCAAGCAAGTAACTTTTGTACAAATTGTAACTCTGGTGAATATTCTTTGTTTGGCTGTATATTCTATTAAAATTTGTTCAACCATTTTTATGTGATTGAATAAAAAACAACTTTGCAAACTTTCACATTTATTATATTAATTGAATTTAAATAAATACATGATCAAAAATAGACAAGTTACATAATAATGAAACAACAACAAAACTGTAATAATTGACAATCTTTATACAAAAATAAACATCTCTTACATGCTAAAGTTATAAAAATAGTTCACTTAACAATGTATATACAAAGTTATTGTTAACCTAAAACTTAAATTATAAACACTAATGAACACAAAATGAATAACTAATCGAGCGAGTTAAACAATATTGGCCACTTTAGTCATTTAGGTACCTCATTTAAAAAAATATATTAAATTTGAGTAAAAATATATTTGAGAACGCAACTATTTTCTTCCCGCAAACAAAGTTTTTAGGTGACAAAATAGGGACTTTGTGAAAGAGTGTGGTAAAATAGTTAAAATGCGTTCTATAATAACAAAATTCGACTTTAATTGTAGCAAAGGTAATGGTTCTTGAGAGGAGTGAAAGTTTAACGGCATGCCAGATTATGATAGGAGATGAAAAAGTGGAGCAAGTGAGTGAGTTTCTATATTTAGGTTCTTTGTTTACGAGGGATGGGAAGTGTGACAGAGATATTGAGAGGAGAGTAAAAGCGGGAAACAGTGTTAACGGTGCACTGCTCTCGATTATGTCAAGTAAAAATGTATCGAGCAAAGCTCGCCTTGCCATAATTCAAGGACACCAACACATTTATGGAAGCGAATCGTGGGTATGGCAGAAGAAGCATGAAAGTAAAATAAATGCTGTACAGATGAGAGCTTCGAGAAGTATGTGTGGTATTACATTAAAAGATAGAGTAAGAAACAGTGTGATTAGAGAGAAGTGTGCACTGAAAGACGATGTAGTGACAAAAATAGAAAAAGGAATGTTGCGTTGGTTTGGTCATTTGGAGAGGATGGATGAAAGAAGAATTACGAAAGAGATTTATCGAGCAAGAATGAATGGAGATGACGGTAGGGGCCGCCCTAGACGGACGTATGTTGACCAAATAGGCGACGTGTTGAAGAAGGGCCAAATTAAAAGTACCCGTAACCGGCGAGCGTGTATGAAAAGATTGATGAATGTGGAAGAAGCGAAAGAGGTTTGTTTGAATCGCAGCATTTGGCGTTCCATTGTTTCTGCCTACCCTAATGGGAGACAGGTGTGACAGATATATATGTATGTATGTATTGTAGCAAAACCTGTTATTTTGATTTCAAAACTAAACCACTTAACCGATTTTTTAACCAAGTTCAATCTGTACGATTAAAAAAAAATCCTAATCGGTTTATAACTGACGAAGTTATGAGGTAATATAAAAAAAAAATACAATTGAATTAACAACCTCCTAAGTTGGTTGAAAACAATTACATTGGAACATTCAATAGATACGTAACGATTCGTCAAAAATCCCAAACTCATTATAAATTTAAATATATTGACTAACAATACATTCTTATGTGTTCAATCAAAAGTACAGAATCGAAATAAATACGCTTCCTGGGGGCCTACCATGAAATGTAATTCCGAAGTCTCGGACTCAGCTTCGTGTTTTCGTTTATACATAAATCGGCCCAGTAAATGGAGCTTAACATTTCGTTCGTCATAAATCCTACCATAAAAGTCAAAAGGAATAATATTTTAATATTTTTAATGTTTTTAAACGGTAAGTATTATGTAATTTTAACATCAAATTTGTGTTTCGTTCGGCTCCGAAATTTCGGAAAACATTTCATGGTAGGCCCTCTGATCTCGCTTTTTATTCTTGCAATATCATCACTACGTGTAGACGGCGCCACCTAACTATAAATATCTTATGAAACAAATAGTTGTGTTTAGTAGACAGATTTGCAGTAATGCTACGACTTTGCACAGATATCGTGGCGATGTAAGTGGCGCCGTCGCCTGCGATGAGGGCTGTAATGCGCGTATCGCAAGAATGAAGGGTAAGATCGTAAAATATTGTTCATTTCGATGCTGCGTTTTTCTCAAATAACAAAACGTTATAATTTTTATTGTAATCCGAAATATAATGTACATCAGTTGCTATTATTATAAAAAAAATATACGATGTGTATAACATTTGATGATATACATAACTAGATATTGTTTTGTGTAATGTTGTAAATACTACAGGAAGCGTTCAGTACCGTGTTTGTGCAGCGGTGTGCGTGTAGTGACGCGCGGACACTAGAAGCGGTCGGGCGGGTCCAGCGTGCTGCAGCGGCAGCTGCACGAGCTCACCGGACACTCCGAGTGCTCCCTGCCGACGTAACAACCAACTATATAACTTACAGCACGACAAATTTGTACGATCCTCCAAAAAAAAATTGTGAAATGTGCCCATTGCACTGTCTCGCAGCATGTGTAAAAACTAGTATAAAAACAAAACTTATTATACATGATATGGGCTTTATATGTTTTTATTATAACCAAATTTTTAGAAAAAGAACAATATGTCTCGGTAACAGCTATACAATTTGAGAGGAATAACTGTTTAATAAGGGAAAATAAATAATTCTCCGTTACAAGAGGTAGCATGCGCGGGAGAGTATTGTGGATGTAGAGGCGCGATACTGACTGGAACCAGTGCAGCAGATGGGCGGCGTGGCCGCCGTGGCGGCAGGCCACGCACCACGAGAACCAGCCGGCGAAGGCGGCGGGCGCGGCGCCGCCCAGGTGCAGCGCGCACACGGCGCAGCGCGGCAGCGGCTTGCGGCAGTGCGGACACGCCGCCAGCTGCTTCAGCTTGGCGGCGGCCGGCGCCAGCCGCGCGAACGCCTGCCGCGGCCGCGCCGCCGCCGCCGCCGCCACCGCCTTGCCGCAGTACGAGCACGCCACGCACGCGCCGCCCGCCGCCGCCGCCGCCGCGCCGCCCGCGCCGCCCACGCCGGCCGCGCCGGCCGCGCCGCCCGCCGCCGACAGCGCGCCGCTCACCCACGTGTCCAGCGCGCACCGCGCCCACCACAGCTTCCAGCTGTCCAGCAGGCACCGGTAGCTGCAAATGTTCAGTTTATTGCCACGTCGCCTCTTCATACGGCAGCCGACCCGAGCTGCACGAGCGCTACCTACCTGTCGAGCCAGTGCTGCACGCGGTGGTCGCGCAGCATGTCGGCGGTGAAGCAGCGCGCGGCGATCAGCGCGACGGACTGCACGTCGCCCGTGTTCTCCAGCCAGCGCTGCAGCAGCGCGATGCCCTCCGGACTCGCGCCTGACGCACACACCAGCATTCCACATCAATACCAGTGCCGACATATCAGTATCATAACAAAAATTAATTAATTTAAGACAGGGGGAATGGTCACGCCTAAGACAAGATTTTGTTATATAATTTATTCATTATAGTATTTATTAAAAATAAAAATACTAATATTGTTTGAATTAGAACACAAGAATATTATGCAGTTGTTATACTTCTTCTAATATCTGATATTATTAATTTTGACACGCTAATAGCGTTTATGGGGAACAAAAAAGAACAGAAATGGAAATTGGAAAAATATGTATATTGGCGACAGGATCTTAGAAGACTATGGCCGTGAAGAAAAGCCAAAAAGAAACAATAGAATTTCTTAAATTTGGTAAAGAATAATATAAAGCTATAAATATGTGGCCTGTATGCACATATTGTCCACCTCATTAAGCTCGGTACTAACAATCAGTCGTGGAGAACCGGTATAATAGACAAATATCAAGAAATATTAATCCAAAAACCATTTAGTGTTCAGCTTGAGTGAGTTTATGCGCTGGATGCCTAAGAATTCCCCAATGGTAGCTACGTCTACCACACACACTGTTCTATCATGACCAGGAAATACTTTAGTTATTTGGTCTTTAGGTCGCAATCCCCGCGGCATACTTGCATTGATAGATTAGAATGTCATAGCAGGGAGTTTTGGCCTCTATGTGAAGCCAAACTGGCCATATATACTTTGAGCCATCTAGATCAAAAGTGATCTGTAAATTAGGTTTTTATATCAGTGTGATGTTCCTAATAAATGTCCATCGTTCAAAGACAAGGGTCAAGGCAGCTCAGAGGAGCTGAAGTAAGCAGCGTTGTCATAGAGACAGTTTACGATGTTGATTTGGTGACACAGAGGAAGCTTTGTCGAAGTCAGTAATAGTTGATCGTACCTGTAAGCAGTATCCCAGAAAGGTCGCCTTGCTCGACGAGCGCGTCGCACGTCTGCTGCAAGTACTCGCTCAGTTTCGCGTCCGACAGGAATATGCACGCGAACGCCACGCGGTCCTCGAGCCGCATCTCGGTCTCGTTCTACAAGTTAAATAAATGCGTAAGTACCTGCAAGTGTCTGACAATGGTAGAAGGTGGTGTGGATGTACTTGCCAGCACGGCGGCGAGGTCGGGGTGGTGCGGCGGCGCGGCGTGGTGCGCGGCGGCGGCGGCGGAGGCGGAGGCGGAGGCGGAGGCGGGCGCGGAGGCGGCCAGGAAGTGCAGCAGCGCGCGCAGGTAGGCGTCGGGCAGCGCGGGCGCGGCGGCGGCCAGCGCCTCGCGCCACAGCCGCTCGTCGCTGAGCCCGGCCAGCGCCAGCGCCACGACGCGCAGCTGCGGCTCGCGCGCGCGGCCCAGCACGTCGAGCGCGGCGCGCAGCCGCAGGTGGAAGGCGGCCAGCGCCGCCGCGCGGCACGGCGTGCCCGCCGCCTCGGCGCGCTCCACGCCGGCCGCCGCGTTCTCCCAGCCCCAGCCCCAGCCGCACAGCTGCAGCCCGCGGCCGCGCGCCGCGCTGCGGAACACGGCCACGCGCCGCGCCGGCAGGTCCGGCAGCAGCGACGGCACCATCTCCGACCGGTACTCGGCCCCGCCGCCGCCCCGGAACACCGTCCGCACGCCCGGGTGCTTCCACGGGCTGTTCCTGATGCACCCTGCGACACCACACGCTCCATGTACGCGACACTCAAGTTATACAAGCAGCTTATTCATGCTGCGCACCTGCCCTATATAACTATTTCATACATATAAACTACTAAACGATATCCCCGTAACACAACCAAAATTAACATAAATTTATTATTACACAAAACTCCCTATATTAAATTTTACTTACCATCCTCGACGAGCGATTTGCTAAGCGCCAAAAAGTGCCACAGCCCGCTCAGCGCCTCGTCTTCGGCGAGGTCCGCGTTCTGCCATAAATCTGGCTGTAAAGTAGACATAAAAACTTATGACTAGAATAAAATTACAAAAATCCGGCTCGAAGGACTAAAAAAATGGAACATGACATTTTTGTCTTCGATGTTGAAAATTACACGTACGATAGTATTCCTTTTATTGATTGACAAATAGTTCAGTAACGACGACGAGCACCTTGAGGCCGTAGTCGGTGAGGGCGCGGCGCCGCATGTCGTAGGAGACGTCGCGCAGCGCCCCGTAGAAGTCGTCGGCCATGAGGCGCAGCGCGGCGCCGGCCGCCGACCACACCAGCCGGCCGCCCGCCGCGCCGCCCGCGCCCCACGCCACCGTCACGCGCTCCGTCACCGTGTAGTCCGCCGCCGCGCCTGCGCATGCGCACATCACACACGTGACACACGCGACACACGCGACACACGCGACACACGCGACGAGCTCAGCAGGTCACTCACTCCCTCCACCCTCATCCAAACGTGGTACTGTGCTCGTCTGTGTCACTTGTTACTGTGACATGGTAACGTGACTTTCTATCTCATATTAACATGTAACAGTTAATATGAAAATAATTACAACAGAAATCGGTCTTAATAAATTGAGTTTAACATTTCGTTCCTTAGAAATCCTGTCTAATTTTTGTTTGTCCTGCCCGTTGACACCAGATACTGTCTTATCAATATATTCCACGACAATAACTATGGAACAGCTGTGGTTTGAAGCGATGCTATAGCGGCGTGGCGTTACCCGTGAGGCTGACGGCCAGCAGGCGCGCCTCGTGCGTGGGGTGCCAGCTGAAGGTGGCGAGCTGCTGCGCAGCCGGCGCGGCGCCGGCGGCGGCGGCGGCGGCGGCGGCGGCGGCGGCGGCGGCGGCGGCCGGCGCGGCGGCGGCGGCGGCCGGCGCGGCGCCCGGCAGCGGCGTCACGTCGCGCTCGATCACGCTCGGGCCCCGCGAGTACTCCTCCAGCTCCGCCTCCACCGCCGTCGCCTGCCAGCAATTCATTTGTCACCACTTACATATTGTATTATAATACATATTTTCTACTGTTAGAAATACAAACGAGACACGCACACTTTTAACCATTTTATCGATTCCCTTAATAAAGAAAATCTTCTTGAAGGACATTTGAAACAAGACTCCGATCATGTATAACATGTAATACAGAGTACAAATGGTGAAGTTAAACAATAATTTAATCATTATTAATAAAATATCTCAGAGCTGAGTGCACGAAACGCTGTTGAAGCGTGTAACCTAATCCAAGTACGTAAAATGAATAAATAAACAAACAAATACCATTACCTCGTTATCGACGATGTTTGTGCTCTTGCAGTCATTGTTTGCTTGCTGTATATCGTGCAGTCGAAGGGTGCTCGAGTCGCGTTGGAGAGATAACAGAAGATTTCGTCTGAACAATTATTAGATAGTTATAACAACATTGTTAATATTATGTATTGAACACTCGAATGCGATGCATAGAAATATTAATTTTTTAAAAAGGAATGTGACAAAAGTATACACTGCGGAAGGACTTTGTGAATTATTGTCAATTGTAAAAACAAATGGTATTTCATAGTGAATAGTGGGAGTGCGAAGTGTGGAGAGGCGCGGGCGCACCTGGTGGGGCACCACTGCATCTTGAGCACGGGGCGCGGCTGCGGCAGCGCCAGCAGCGGCCGCGAGAGGGCGCGGGCGTCCCACACGCACACCACGTGCTCGCCGCGCGACGCCAGCTGCCACGGGTTGTGCGGGTCGGCCACCACGCCGTAGCAGTGCCGGCTCGTCGCCACGCTCACCGCCTTGTTCGACAGGTCTGCCGCCACCCACGCAACAACAACAACACACATACGCTGTGTACATCGTGCATACAATATAAAGGGTTTGGGTGTGTGCCTTATGGAAGCCTTATGTGCATTATTCAAGGCCCAATTCTATTTAAAAAATCGAGCACTGTTCGGAAATCAAACAATTTTCTTTTTTTAAACTAGCTCAGTTGCGGTGTCAGAATTTCAGAATATTTTATCTTAGGAATGTAGGGAAGTTATGAGAAGGTAGAACAAACAGTCATACTAGAGGTAGTAAGAAGCCATTCATTAATTATGTACTATACATAACCCTTACTTAACATTAGTGTTCGACCGAAACAGGCAGCCAAAACCAAAACCGAAACTTACTGAAACATATTTAAAATTTCTCTTCTATACTGAAATCTAGTGTATTTTTTACCCAATTATTTACACAAACACACAGATAGTTGAAAGGTAAAAATAAACATTAATTTATGTATGTAACAAATATGTCATATATATTTATATGTAAAAACATGTTAAAATTATGACCTACTCTTGGAAGTAAACTTAAAAAAAAACAACTTTCAGTTAGACACACACACAACACACACACAAAGTTTAGGCGCGGCCGAAAGTTTTGGCAAATTTTTGGCCGAAACCAAAACTACAGCCAAAAGTAGAATTTGCCGAAACTAGGCGAAACCGAAACTGAAAGTTCAATCAAACACTACTAAACATATACATATTTATAAAAATGTGAAAGTGTGTTTGGTGGTTTGTTACCTCTTGGTGTTTTAATAGCTTTACCCACCATATAAAATATGATATACAAGTACTATCTGGCATGGAGAATGACACAGGTTACTTTTTACCCCCTATCATATGATCAGTAAACATATCCCAGTCTGCGCAAACAGTCACAAAGAAAGTAAAAGCTAATCCCAGTATAAAACAGTACACTTACCTCTAAGATCAAATATCTTAATGTACTTAAGGTTCATGCTAGCGAGCAGTGTGCGATTAGAGCTGTTAGTCCACGCCACACTGTGGGCCGTCTCCGACAGACCCATCTCTGCTATTGGTTTTGGAGACTCTGAACTTTGTCCTTCTGAAACTTTAGTTAGAACCATTATTTTTTTCTCAATGAGTATACAAAGTCATTTACTGATTCACTGTTATTTCAAATTTTAGGAGTACTTTGAGAATTCTCAAATGTATTTAATTGCTTGGACTACCAGACACTAGATCAATTTAAAAATTAGGTATCCATTCTAAGTTGAACATTGCCTACTTCATTATTAGTGGTCCGTTCAGATTTGCTCATATGCAAATAAGACAAAATCAATTGATTACTTTTACCTCTATCAGTCTGTGTTGCAGGGATCCGGTTCACATCCCACAGTAGAATGCAATGGTCATTGCGGTACTTCTCCAATGCCACAGCAAGCATATTTGTCTCCACATGACTCCAGGACACAGAATTGCACAGGCGAGGGTACCTGGGTACTATATACAAAACCAACACTATAGTTTCAGTTCTAAGTTAAAATTTTATAGATTTTTTGGTTACCTATCACCCATATGCTACAAGTATGGAATATACACAGTGAATATATAAGCAGACATTGATATTACAGCATAAATTGACTTACCAAACTCTCTGCCAACGAGTCCCAGGGGGTCATATGTTTGTTTGAGTGTACTGAGGGTGACACGGCCATTGTTATGTCCGAGGGCTACCAGTGGTTCAGGCTGTTCCGTGATCGCACTGATATCGACACAGCGGACGGTACTCGCGCTCTGGGATGCGACCACTGTCGCTCCACGGTTGGCCGAGATTTGAGAGACTGGATAAATAGTAATAACTAACTTAGAGCAATTTTTTTTAACAAAACCAGCTAAAGGCTACTGTAGGCTTTTAGCAAGTAATTACAAGCGAAGATCAACAACGACGTATATTATAAATAATGAGATATTGTATATAATTAGATATTGAAATCAAACGTAAATATACCGACACCGGACAACTAGGACAATTTAATACGACATAATATGTATGTATGTGTAATTAATATCAGCCAGTACAGTAGTATTATAATAACTGCTGTATTTAAATAATTCTCTAGTAATAAATTAACTTACATGTTGTTTTTTTATCGATATCTTTAAGACGAGAAACTTCGTAGAGGGTTATGTCTGATCCCCATATTATGAATTTGTTATGGTGCACCGGAGACCAAATCACATCCAATTTAGTACCTGACATCATTTTTATGTATTTTCATTTGTTTTTGTAATAAATAATTTTATTTTTCATAATAAAATCAAAAAAATATACGACAACAAAAAATGTTTTGATTTTGAAATTTCCTTTTTTTTCATCAACTCATTCAGTTTACTATGCTTTAAAGACTGAAAAAACAAAACGCAAATAGTGGCATCCGTCAACGGTCTAAATACTAAATTCTTATTAAGTATAAATAAATTATCCGATCCAGACAAAATATATATGCTAGATATGATTACTTGCTCATTAGATTATTTTAAATTTAATTTTGAATTAAATTTGTAATTAAAACAAAATTTGAAGCTCTTAGATTAGGAACTTTTAATCTATTTATGATTATACTTATGGAGAGTAATTTACTATCAACCTGAATAAAGGTAAAAAGAATCGTTTCTTTATATGAAAAACTATATGTTCCATTATGTTTGCTAAATAACTAAAATAAATAACCAAAAATGATTTTTTCTTGAAAAAAATTTGTGTCGGAGTGTGGACCTACATTATCTATTAATTAAACCGACCCTGGATAAATTTAAAGGAAATAAACTTCAACTAATAAAGTTACAAAAAGTAAAGCTTCCGCCTTTTTTACAATTTTTAAAAATAAACTTTGAAATAGAATGATATTAAACATAATAATGTTATGTTTAATATCATTTTTAATTTTTTTATTATGCATTAAATAGTAAATAAAGATATTAAATTTTTGATCTCAGCGCATTTTACTCCAACAATAACATTTGTTATTTTTTGTCCTTTAATAATAATAGCTTCTATAGTATAATTCTCTTTATCTCTTTATAAGTACATCAATAACTTAGTAATATATAAAACTTAATATATATAACTTATTAAAATATACTTAATTTCTGAAGCCGGTCTCATGAAATGAATTTTCTAAACACTTTTTTATTCACCTATGTTTTACATTAAATCTAATACATGCAATTATTTCATAAAATTAAAGTAACTGTTTCGTTGTTCATGCATGTCGCATGTGTTACTTGAATTAAAAAGGCTTGTACAAAATTTACGTAACTCGATTATTAAATTTGAAAATTTAAAGGAATCGTTTATTAATATTATGAATAGAGGCTCTTATAAAATAGTTGTTCAACATAATTACTTATTTATTATGTTGAAAATTCTAGGTGGTTGCATGACAAATTTTCTAGTTTTGTCTAGATAAGGACAGTGTTGACTCTGAATTAACTAAGTGTTTACTTGTTCTGTGGTTCGGATGTGTAAGTATCTATCTTGGTAATTTCGTCATTTTTGACAGATTCATTCTATTGTCCAATTCCAGACAATTTATTTAGGCAGCATGGTTTTTAGCCTGTTCCAAACGGAACAAATACTAAAAAAAAAAAATCTATTGTGAGTTTTTTGTAAATGTTTGTTACTATTGATGAAATAAGTGAAATTAGTTTACGGTGAAACAATAAAATCGACGGAATAATACGGTTATAGCCGCATCTTAGAGGTAAGTTAAAACTTTAATGATCATTCTGAAAGCGTATTTCTCGTCTCCTTATTTAGGGTCAATGACGTGATTGTTTACTATAATGGCAACGCCTCTCGTTCTCTCACAGTTTCTCGCGTATTGTCTTACGGTTCTCACGCGTTGTGGCACTTTTCCCGACCTTATTTACTTGTACGTTACTGCTGGTGTAGCGGTGACCGCTGGAGATACAGTTAGGAGTCGTGCCTCGTGATCCACTGACTCGCCTAGTTATCATTGATTTTCGTTAAATTGCTGGTTGCTGCGATATAATCGCAGCTCCAGTTAGTTTAGATAAAAAAAATCAGTTTGTGTATCTATCATAAATTAGTGAGTTTTTGTGCTAGTGTATTATGGGACAGTTAAAGATCTCACACGTCTCCTGCCAGCAGGAGGTAGTGCCGAGAGTCTAGTGATGTTCTCTGCTTTAACATATCAATTATCCACAACATTCCTTGAAGAACAGAAAAAGGTGACTAATACATTGCTGTCATGTTTTTCAAATAGTCTCTCTAAGTGTCACCATTAGCATTATCTAACAATGGTTGTTCTAAAGCAATTAGTGTTGGTTTTATACAGCATTGTAATATCAACTAAGTGTATATACATAGTTATGAATGGTTCAAGTTTTGAATGATATTATGTATCCATAGTGATCATATTTAATATGTAATCATGATAAAGAAAAATCTGTAATTAATGAGCTTCCTAGGCAGGAAGCTCATTAATTACAGATAATATATTGATTATGTATAAAGATTCTATATCACTGGGGTTGTATAAGTACTAAATTTAATGATTATGAGTTACAAAAAAGTCGGTAAGTTATTTCTAAATTATTCTAAATAATGAATTTTCTATGATGTTGCCAAATTTGTTCTTACCTGCTCATTTATAAAAACTGTAACCTTTAACTAACCTATTTTAATTATTACACTGTTTTGTCTCTTCTTTTCAAGTTGGGAATTTAGTGTAAAAGAAAGAGACAATAGTTAAATAGCTAAAGATTTATAAGATAGAGAGGTATGAGATTTTTATAAATAAGGGAATTAGTATCTATGAATTTTAAAACACAAATGTTGCTGACTGAAAATTGTCTATAACCCTATTTACCGTTTATTGAGTATTGACTAAGGTGAGCAGTTTAGTACAGGCAGAGATAATTTTTTTTTTTTATAATATTTATACTAATGAAAACTTTTTTATTATTGGATTTGTCTGGACTGTAACCTTGTAACAGGCTGTTTGCAAATTTAATTACTCTAACTACATAGGCAGTGTAATATTATTATAATACTGTTGATTGTCAGTGTGTTCATTTTAATGGTTACAGTCATACATTATTTATACGTACATATTTGGTTGAACTTTTAAATATTCTCTGCTAGTTTATATACACCAAAAGCGTTATAAATATTTTATATTCCAGTCCTTAGATCAAAGTAAACCATGGAGCTCTTATATTTTGCAAATTTAGTAGTACATTTTTTATGACATAGAAAATTTTACAGAATTAATACAATTGACAGTCTTTAAAATTGATGTCCAAATAGAGAGATCTTTGTAAAAACAGAAGCCATATTTACCCCATCATGTAATGGTATCCAGGAGTGGAATATATACAATTATATATATTTTATCTCTATATATTTGTATGATACCATGCAAATAATGAATATTATATACAAATATTAAATTATTATTGAGTCAGTATATGTGATTCATCATGAATCATGTTTTGGCTATTATAGTCATTTGTTAGTTCACTTTAGTATGTGAAAATATTTTGAATATAAATTGATATTTGTAGTCATATAGTGAGTGGTATTCTAAAACTAGATAATTTCTACTATGAATAGAGTCCTATTATAAAATAGCCAAGTTTATTTATTTATTTACACTTTATTGCACCATTTATAAAATAATAAATATATTTAACTGTAATAAGAAATGATATAAAAGGCGGCTTTATTGCTAAGCAATCTCTTCCAGATAACCTTTGGGTAGAGGACATTGAGAAAAGAAAGAAAGACAAAGGGTAGGTGGCGCACTATTATATATAAACAAATATATACAAAGATATATATATATATATATATATATATACATATATATATATATATATATATATATATATATATATATATATATAGAGTTGGCCTACACAGTATTTGGGATGGATAAGGATATAGGCTATTTTTTATTCAGTAAATTGGTATAATCCCAGTCATATGGACAAAGTTGTATGTAGAAACTAGTAATTATATACTTAATCATAAAACTCTTTCATGTAAAATAAAAGTAAAAAAAAAATATTAAATAAACAAGAGTAATAATGAAGTCTATTGCAGTAAAACATGTTATTTTGTGAAATTGGGAACCCAGGTTCGAATCCTAATGGAGTCAAAGGAGTTTTTAATTTCTAAATTACTTCTAGCTAAATTGTTTGATATTTCATATTACAGTATCTTAGTTTGAAGACCAGGCAGTTTATGTTACAGTGTAGACTGACTACCCATCTAATAGGAAATGATATCTGTTTCCTATAGATATAAATCAAAGCCTGTAATTTCACCACCATCATCATCATCTTCCTATTCTTATCCCAATTATTATTTGGGGTCGGCGTAATATAGTTTTGTCCATATTACTAAAGGATTTGACTTATATTTTAACGACTGGTTGCCTGTCTGACGCCAACCCTCTTTGGGAATTTAATTAATAATTTCACCAATATATCACACTATATACAATAATAAGGAGTTCAGTTCAGAACCTATTATTTGGACTTCCAAACATTCTCTTTCTAACGGGCTTCTGTTAAAAAGGGAATCATGTTTTCGTGCAATTAGTGTGAAAACAATCATTGTCATGTCATGTTCCACGCCGAGTTTTCTATTCCCCCACAATGGCAGCGCACTAATAAGTATTCAGCCGGTCGGGAGCCGCGCCGGCACGCATTGTCGCCGCAGATTTCTATTTCTCCGCCGTTCAACTGGAAAATTCTATTAAGTTTACTTTGCTTGTGTAGTTTTACGTGTTTTTATGCAACAATTATAGTCTGTTATGATAGACTAGCGCTAACCGCAACATGCAAACGTCTTGGCCAATTTAAATTGCCGCTACCACGGCTAAATGTCGAATTCGTGTAGTATTTACTTTATTACATTATATACTATTAACTGTAAACTGTGGCTTTGCCTTTTATATGTATATATTTTATATAAAAAATACTGTATCTGCGGCGTGATCTTGGATAAAAGTTAGCTTTTTTTTTATGTAACTAAGAATTGCAAACAAGCTGACTGCTCACCCGATGGAAAGGTCACCGTCGCCTATAGACATGAGCAGTACCGTGGACATAACAGAGTATACTGTTTCGCCCATGATACCACCCATGCGTTGCCATTCCTGAGGACTCAGGTGCTATTCCTCTGTACCGTGTAAATTCACGCCATATCCCACCCTTCAAACCGAAACACAGCCATGCAAACACAACTGCTTCATGATAGTAACACAAATGGAATATACGTGTTAATCCAAAATATTATAGTATTTTTCTTTTTTCACTCATTTGTGTTTTTGGTGGTAAACAGCTGTGCTCCCATAACTGTCATTGTTTTTTGATTTGGAGTGTGGGGTATGTCAGTGAAATAACTTAGTATGGTTAAACATAAAGTTATTACTCGACAATTGTAACTAAATAGAGGTACTGTTGGCATTGCAGAGTAGTTGCAACGTCACTTCATCGTCCACTTGTTTACATTATAACTGGCATAAAAATTTGTGTAACAAATTTTATTAAAATCCATTCACCCGTTTAAGCATTATTATATAACAAACTGCAAAATCTTTACAAACTTTCACCTGATTAAAATTATTAGCAATTTTCCGTGTATTTTTATAATATCATCGGGAAGTCTGTATTATGGCTATGTAACGCTGTTACGTCACCAATTCTGAGCCGATTTTGCTCATTCATTTTACAATCGAAATGACACTTGCTACGAAGCAAATTCGTGTTCTAATTTCAAATATTTTAAAAATAATATACATACGAAATATCTCGCCATTCGTCTATTAATGTTAGTTACCATAGAAGTCTTTTAAACTGGGGTTAAATGTACTTATTTATATACTATATAATACATAGGACGTGTTGCCGTTATCACGTTCCAGTGAACTGGATTGTATGAATGTTATCAGTACATTACGTTCAACATTGTTACTGGTTATGTACTTACTAGAGAACAAGTTCATTTTAATATAGCGTGAACAGATAGTCGCTACCTGTAGTTGTTTCTCGCGGATTCGCGTATACAACAATCATATGTAAGGAAAATTATTGAAATTTTTTTTTTTTTTTATACAACTTAGAATGGCAAACAAGCTGACAAACTTTGACAGACTACACCTTGGATAATAGACTTGGGCATGAACCTTGGGTAATTTATTGCAGGATTTACAACTTTAATTAACATTATATTATGCAATTCAATAATTGGTCATAAACGCGAAAGTGATGCTGTGAAGTCATTCATTTAAAAATAATGTCAAGGCATTCATTGATTAACGGCGACCGTAAAAATGACTCCGACCCGGCTGGCTGCAAGTAATTGTTTGTTAAACTGGTCATCTCACTACGAGTATTAACATGCTATGGATTTTATGTTATGTTGCAACCAGTTGGACCAGAGGGAGACTTTGTACAAAAGTCGATTGCTTGGGTACCTCTGTCCCATTCGTGTTTCTACCGTGAAGCAGTTGTGTTTGCATGGCTGTATTTCGGTTTGAAGAGTGGGATATGGCGTGAATTTACTGGGTACAGAGGAATAACATCTGAATCCTCAGGAATAGCAACGCATGGGGGTATCATGAGCGAAACAGTATACTCTGTTACGTCCATGGTAGTGCTCATGTCTATAGGCGACGGTTACCGCTTTCCATCAGGTGGGCCGTCAGCTAGTTTGCCATTCTAAGTTGTATAGAAAAAAAATGTTTGTAACTTTATAAAGAGGTCATTTTATAGTCATGACTAAGGAATGACGCTTTTTAGGTCATCATGCTATCTGGGATATACATTAAATGCGGAAACATTACTCTCTACTGTCCCATCCATCCATTCAGTCCATATCTGCGTGTCAAATAGAGAGGACGCGCCTATTATTTAATTATTATGTGGAAGTCGTTTTGTGTGAGTTCATAATAGTTCATATACAGTGACGCACCTGTACATTTTGCACGAAGCACGCCATGACTCACAGAACATTCGGCGTGACTCAATTAACTCTGTTACTAATAAGGTCATTGATTATCTACCATCGTTCTCTGTGTAAAACCCACACGGGCCGCGGTCTGATGCCGAGACATAGACACGCTGATTTGAGTTCTTGTCTTACCTACAAATTATATATATCATTTATATATACACTAGGAACATCAAGCACTAATTTACTGGGTACAGAGGAATAACACCTGAGTCCTCAGGAATGGCAACGCATGGGGGGTATCATGGGCGAAACAGTATACTCTGTTATGTCCATGGTACTGCTCATTTCTATAGGGGACGTTTACCACTCTCCATCAAGTGAACCGTCAGCTTGTTTGCCATTCTAAGTTGTATAAAAAAAATCACCATGGCAACCCATTAATCGGTTTTTTAATGAATGATAATGGAATTGTAACCTCGCTTGCGCTAACGGTATACACCGGCCGGGCACCAGTGAGGGATGATAGGTGAAAACGAAAAGACAGATCAGTTAATCCATCGTGATGAGTTCGCCTGGAATTCAGCTCGATGGTTTTCAGGGGGACCACGTGGAGGTTGACCTGGTTGGGCATATTGCTAACATAGGGACTGGTAGTCCGCTTTATTAACAATCCTTTCGGGTAATTTTTAATGTTTTAATATAGGTGGTAAGATGGAACTCATGTAGCGTATGGATAATTATGAGTAAATTCATAATATTGTCCATAAGGTATGTGTGTGTGTCTGTGTCTCTGTGTGTGTGTGTGTGTGTGTGTGTGTGTGTGTGTGTGTGTGTGTGTGTGTGTGTGTGTGTGTGGGTTAGCCGATCTAACTTTAAACTTTTCCGCTTTATATTTAGAAGTTGAAAGCATTATAGTTTTTATTATCGTTCAAAACTAATAAATTAAAAAAAAAAAAAAAAAACACAAAAATGATTGATTACTAAACTTAATGAAGAACTCTGTGAATCTAAATCGAACCTGTTCACAGCCCAAAAATTTTCAGTTATGATCACGAAGCGATTCGTTTGTCATGCCGATCCATCCTCAAAGCATGTGTATAACATAAGCTATACCTGTCTTCCGTTATGTGCAATACCGATTCATACTTGTTATAACAAGTGATAAAATTAAACCTTATAGCCATGTCATAAGATTTATTTCATCACCAGTGTTCGGGCGCTAATCGCCATTCCCTTTACAAGCTCTGAGCTGAATGGTAAATGCTTGTCATGGTCAACTATTGATTTGGGGCAAATATTATGCTACTCTTGTGATACCATATAAAGCAGTCTTCTTTCAGTAAACTTGTTGCAACTAATTCTATAGCTTAGTAGACGTTCACCAGACTGCGGATGCTGGTGATCGTTGCCACAAGGTGGAGTTTGAGATTCATTTTTGTAACTTAGAACACACCTGATGTTATACGTTACGATTTTAACTTTTGATAAAGCCTTAATACGGGGGAAATCTGTCAGATTAGAAAATGGACTAGTTCCATTTGTCCCTACCAACGTTTCCCCACTGGGGGAGTAAGAGTGGAATTTTATTGTATGTAGTGAAATCGAAATATTTGGAAATCTTGTACTAACCAAGTGCTTTATATTATTCTTAATTTCGTGTATAATATAGTATATATCATATATGTGTAAGTATATTTGTTATTCATATATATTTATTCGTTTATATATGTAATATTAGTATGTATGTATATCAATAATTACTAGTACCACATTCGAGTATTCTGACACTTTCCTATAGTTGACTGGGAGAGAATGCTTTTAGCATTAAGTCCGCCATGTACACATATTTGTACTAATGAATAAATAAATAAAAAAATCAAGGGTTACTAATTTATAAAGACATACGACGCAAGTTGAGTCCATAGCATCGGGCACTCGCATGATAAAACCGAGCCACGTCAGTACGTGTGTGTCGCATGCTGTTTACCGTAATTACTAATGATAATGATGGTTTTATGCTCACTGACGCGATGACCAGTAATCAGGAACCCAAACTAAAACGTTACCAAGGTCACGAGTTTTCCGCGTACGCCTATTTTTTTTATCGCCACTACATCAAGCACTAATTTACTGGGTACAGAGGAATAACAACTGAATCCTCAGGAATTGCAACGCATGGGGGGTATCATGGGCAAAACAGTATACTCTGTTATGTGCATGGTACTGCTCATGTCTGTAGGCGACGGTTACCACTTTCCATCAGGTGGGCCGTCAGCTTGTTTGCCATTCTAAGTTGTATAAAAAAAAAGAAAAAAAATTCTATTATCTTTATCGTAAGCGTATCTTGAAACAAGTCAACACTTTAATGTCCAGATTGGTAGCGGCGTGGTCAGTGGCGTAACTATACTATTTGGGACCTGTGGCGAATTCTTTTGATGGGGCCCTATTAGTAAAAAAAAAATACTTTTCAAGTAAAATAAAATACTCAGGTACAATGTAAAAAAAAATATATTTCTGTTCAACTGTTTCAACAACGTTATTATAGTCGTTTAGGTAGTGTCTTGTTGTCAGATGCAACTACCTGGCAATGACCAAATTAGGCCTTACCTGTTGTTATCAGATAGTATGTGTGCCTTCGTCGCCGGCCGCTCCTCGCCCCCGCCGCACCGCCCCTCGTCGCGCTGCACAGGTGTGCTTGTTTAACATATGGTTTCGTAGGAAATTGTCTGGCTCATTTGCATCGAAATAGGCCGGCTTTATTGGTTTGCGTCCATTTTATTGTTTTTGTTGAAAATTGTTTATTGCAAGAGATAAATGCGATACATAAAAAGTACGCAGGCGCATTTATCCCAAATATAGATGTTTTTATGTTAACTTGATACATAAAGTCTACTTTCTACTTTTTTTTCATAGATGATAATTGAATTGTATCCCCGCTTGCGCTAATGGTATACGCTGGCGGAGCACCATTGAGGAATGATAGGCGATGGTCAAAAGACAGGCCAGTTATCCCATCGTGATAAATTCACCTGGAATTCAGAACGATGGTTTCCAGGGGAACCACGTGCAGGTCGACCCGGTTGGACATAGTGCTAGTAATAGGACTGGTAGTCCGCACTTCACAGAATATACTGTGATGCCAGCCAGAGTTATCCCTCATTTGATACACTATCTGAAAATTATAGAATTATGCCTCATTACCCTGTTATATCACTTCCATGTTGCCACTCTTCTAACCGAAACACAGCTATACAATTGCTTTACTTAAGTCGCGCTTATAAACCAAGGATACATAAAAGGATATAATGTGTTTCAGTGTGAGGGTCTCGTGGCAGCCGCCAATATGTCGAAGAAGCCGGCCACGCAGCCGACGCTGCACAAGGTGATCATGGTGGGGTCCGGCGGCGTGGGCAAGTCGGCGCTCACGCTGCAGTTCATGTACGACGAGTTCGTCGAAGATTACGAGCCCACCAAGGCGGACAGCTACCGCAAGAAGGTAAGTGCATGGACCACCAGCAGGACCGTAGCTAGACCCACGTTTAAGGTAGGGCAAAAGAATTTTTTGGTAGGGCAGAAGCCAGAATTAAGTGAATTCGTAAAAGCAAATCTGTCTAATGTTCTTGGGATCTTTGCCCTTCAATTGTGCTCTCCAATCCCCTAAGCTACGGCCATGACTTTTTTTTAAATGTTTTTTTGTTATGCAACTTACGATAAGTTGCATAAAAAACCTTACGTACATAATTATATATATTGAAAACTATACAAATGGACATATAATTAAAAACGTTTTATTATATTCGGCGATCGAATCCGCGACAATCAGGAGTTGAGGCGATGTGTCAACCACTATACCAAAGTGGTCAATTGTTTACGTAACTCGTGTGACTTGTTCCGCTGCTCTCTCTCTTCAGCTGTTATCTTGTCTGGCGCGTGGATGTCGTAACTGCCGATATTTCAGACGATCGAAGCGGCCGATATGTAAGGTCGCGCGCGACGAATGATTGACGTATCGATATTGATGTATGACTCATATTGCAATGAACAGTGTTTCACCATCGTGCCGGCTCTCGAATATTACTCTTGTGTTCTTGTACATATGTATATCTTGTTTCAACTATCAGTTTCGTCCTCAAGACGAAGCCAGTTTAAAAAAAAAACTGTAGTGTTGGATTTTTTTTAAGTAATGAAAATAGAATGATAATTTCGCATACGTTATTAGTTATTAGCGCAATACTAGTCACAAGTGTTATGTAATGACATAGTTTTTTTAGAATGGATGGTAATGGGATTATAGAGGGGGGGGATGGATTTTTTTTTATGGGTGAAAATGGTATGGTGACTCCGCCTGCGCTAACGGGATACGCTGGCGGAGCACCAGTGAAGGGTGATAGATGAGAATGAAAACAGGCCAGTTAGCCCATCATGATGAATTCATCAGGAATTAACCATGATAGTTTCCAGGAGGAACCGCGAGGAGTTCGACCTGGTTGGGTATATTGTTAGCAATGGGATTCTCAGTCTCCATTACTAACAATCCCTTCCCCTCCCCCCCCTCATTACCTTAATGTTAAGTGAAGGGTGATCGATGAGAATGAAAACAGGCCAGTTAGCCCATCGTGATGAATTCATCAGGAATTAACCATGATAGTTTCCAGGAGGAACCGCATGGAGTTCGACCTGATAGAGTATATTGCTAGTATTGGAGCTGTCAGATCCTCATTTCTAACAATCCCTTCCCTAGATTGTTAGTAATGGAGACTAAGAATCCCATTATTCCCAAGCCTCTGTTATTATTATTATTCCTATTAATCCCAAGCATATTGCTAGCAATGGGTCTGTCAAAACTCTATTGCTAACAATCCGTTTTAATTGATACTGGATCTTCTAAACTGAGTCTCAGCTTATAGTGAATTCTTTGGTACTGCAGGTGGTGCTAGACGGCGAGGAGGTGCAGATCGACATCCTGGACACGGCCGGCCAGGAGGACTACGCCGCCATCCGGGACAACTACTTCCGCTCCGGCGAGGGCTTCCTCTGTGTCTTCTCCATCACCGAGCCGGAGAGCTTCGACGCCACGCAAGAGTTCAGGTGCTTATATTTATATGAAGTGAAGTAGCCAACGAGCTGAGGGTCTACTCCGTGGACGTGCTCACAGTCGCCTGTAGACAATGCAGACGCGGTCAAAACAAGGTGTTCCCCAGCGGCGCCAGTAACTTTCAAAGCTGGAATGGAATAGCATTATATATATATGAATGATAATGAAATAGTAACCTGCGCTAACGGTGTATGCTGGCGGGGCACCAGTGAGGAATAATAGGTGATAATGAAAAGGTCGGTCCGTTAGCCCATCGGGATAAACACACCTGTAATTCAGCACAATGGTTTCCAGGGAGGACCACGTGGAGGTCGACCTGACAGGGTGTATTAATAGTAATGGGTCTGGTAATTCGCATTACTAACAATCCCTCCCCCTAGGCGATGAAATCTAAGCCATTAATAATTTTTAGGATTTTTCTTTGTCTGTACGTTTGTTCCGGCATCACGGCAGAGGTTTTCCCAAGAGACTACAGCATGGGGTTCTTCGAAAGGGGGGTAAAGAGGTTTCTTCAGGGTCGGCAACGCACGCGTAATACTTCTGGTATTGCATTCATAGGCTACGGTAACCACTTACCATCAGGTGGGCCGTATGCTTGTTTGCCACCTCAGTGGTTTTAAAAAAAAAAGAAACGTAAAATTTACTGCACTAAATTAAATGCGGTATTTTACAGTCGTGTTCCTGAAGGGGTTTGTAAAATCTGGTGCATCTATTATGTATGATACATGATTTAGAAGTGATCTAATTAATTTCTAATTTTTTACATTCATACGTACGAAATGGTGGGAAAAAAGCTAGTATGTAATGTAATATTGATTGGCCTCTCTTTTCCGCGCTTAGCCTCTCATTTGGGCCGTTGTGCGTATGAGTCGTGGCTAGTACAGCCAACCTAGTTCCGCCCAGAAGCGCAGAAGCTCCCTGGGATCTTCACAGGCCTCACAGAGCGACCTCACCGTTCCAGCTAGTATGTGATGTAAATACATACTATGTACAAATGTGATTTGTATTTTTTTTAACGAAAAATAATAAGTAAACCGAGGAGAGTGATTTCTGCACACAAACGCGCTGGCTGTGCGTCACGTGGCTGTCGTTGTGAGCGTGTCACTAAGTGTATGTACGTGTGTACAGGGAGCAGATCCTGCGCGTGAAGAACGACGAGAACATTCCGTTCCTGCTGGTGGGCAACAAGTCGGACCTGGCGGACAAGCGGCGCGTGCCGCTGGACGCGTGCCGCGAGCGCGCGCAGCACTGGCAGGTGCCGTACGTGGAGACCAGCGCCAAGACGCGCGACAACGTCGACAAGGTACCCTCCCGCACACACGCACGCACGCTGCACTACACACACGCACACACACTCACACGCAAACACACACATACACACACACACTCACGCGCGCGCACGCACACACTCACACTCGCACACACACAAGAAAACACATTACAGTTGCGAAATTTACATGTCGTATAAAAAGTATTTCAAGTACAGAAATATATTTTATCTATAAGTTGTGAAAATAACATACTTAGATACAGACATGAGATAAAAATTTTAATTAGATATCACTATAAGTTCCACTGCTGCCAAGCCTGCGCATGCGCACATTGTCTGCTTCAGCCCCCTGGCCGTGTACAGCGTTCCGCTTGGCTCAGCTGGAATTGTAGCGTCTAGTAACACTTGAGTTGCGTTGCGCGGTGCTTTTTTTACAATAATACTCTTGTGTAGAGAATACGCTTTTACCAGCTAATTACCGTTATAACTAGATGCGTACCGCGGCTCTGGCCATGTGGATTTCGTTATTATTAGGCGCATAAGAACAGTACATAAAAAGAAAAATAATCTATTACAAATTACTTTGAATTTAGTACGGCTAGCTGGAAACCGTTCCATCTTGTAACTTGTTGGGAGTTGGTTGTGTGTAAAGCTAACCAAAATAAATTATATTGCTTAGAAAAAAAAAAAAAATACTATTATACATTTCCATTAGTTATTTCGTTTCCGTTGGGATTTCCAAGTGGCGGTAATGGATGTTATGTCATACGAAATTAGGGGAAAAAATTGTAATTTTTACAGAAGCCATTTCCACTGGTTTTCAGTTCAGAATAATGGCCTGAATTTACTGTTTCAGTTTCTGCCAACGTGTCCCTTACACCCTGTATAAATATATTTAAATCGATTGTTGAAATTATGTAAATAGGAATCGTGTAAGTACAAAATATATTTCGGCCGCCTCAACATGACAACCAAGTGTTCACAGCCGGTTGCAGTGTACACGCGGTTTGCTCTGATACTATCCGCAGCAATGCAACTCATCCGAGTTACCATCGATGGTATTTACATTTCAAATCTGTTAGGTGTAGTTTACATCAGCGTCGATGCTGTCACAGCACATTCCACCATGTGTCCCGTAACATAATATGTCTATATGTGATGTGTGTCTGTCTGTCTGTCTGTACGTGTGGGGCGCGGTGTGTGTGTGGTGCTGGCTGACCCGGTGTCTCCCCGCAGGTGTTCTTCGACCTGATGCGCGAGATCCGCTCGCGCAAGTCGGACGACAGCCGCGCCACCAACGGCGACGTCAAGGGCAAGAAGCGCAGGAAAATCAAGTGCGCCATATTGTAGGCCTCGCCGCCCGCCCGCCGCCCGCTCGCCGCCCGCCCGCCGACCGCTCGCCGCCCGCCCGCCGACTGCTCGCGCGGCCCGCCAGCGGGTAACTTGCACGATTGGCCGTTTGAGAACAGGATTCAGTTTTGTCGGTCGACACGTGTGATGTCGGCACGCAGCATCTGATATGAACATTTTATCCGCCGCCGATAACCGTGAAGTGAACAGTGAGTGGGCACCGTGCGGTTGTAGTGATCCGAGCGGCCTCCGCCAGGGCGCGCTCGCGTGCAGTGTCGCGGCGTGATCGTGTACGAGCCGCTCTATCGCTCACTCGAACTCAATTTACACGGAATAGTGTTTATTATGGAACGTTGGGTTAATACCGTCGCAGTCGCCGGTGACGCGGCGCACCACACTCTTGTAGTTTGTAAGCGACGGCTCTGTATAAACTGTGCTACTTTGTACGCCCATTACGGTGCTGGCATTCCTCTGGGCGCTGCTCGTGATGAAACAGACGGCGTTGTCTCACTCACTGCTGTTGACTGAGCAATCAATACGGTGTTTCATTACGTGCAGTGTCCTAATTATTGCTTTGTTTGCTTGCATGTTATTCATCTAATTGTTGTATTCTCTATAAGAAATGTAAACTAAATGTAAATGTGTGCGGACATCAGTACAGTACATGTTGGAATTTTGGAACAATGCAAAGTGTTGTAACCCCGTGTGGTTTCAACGTGTCTGTGCGCTGTGCGTCCGCCCACGGACGGGCCTCGCGTCGCTCGCACGCACTCACCGACGGCGTAGTGTAAGGTTTTGTATTTATTTTTGTATGATAAGTGCTAAATGTGTCACGTAACGTGTATGTTGATTGGGCATTCGTAATTTGTAATGAGGCGCGCGTACACACTCCGCATACACGACGGGAGTTATTTTAAATAACATTTCAGTATTTCTAATACAATGTGTAATTTGGCCCAGTTGGGCTTTTGTGGTATGAATCTCATGTACAGTCATATATGTAAATAATAATTGTGAATTGCAGTCGATGTTCTGTTTGAAATGTTGTCGATACCGTGCAGTGTGTGCGCGCGCGCCGTAGTCTGTGGACGTGTGCACCGCTCGTGGAATGGTCTGTGTCGTACTCGGTGTCGCTTCGTCACGGCCGCGCCGGCCGCCTGCAGCGCTGTCACGTCACGCGCGTCGTAAATCACAACTCGGCTCTTAAAGACAAGTGGCAAATAAAAACAATTGATATATATGTTATCGCTACCGCGTACATGAGATAGAACGGGATGGCGACATTTTGCGTCTAGTTCTCTCTCGAGTGTATGACTATCTGTCGATAGATCGTTTGCCCCTTATCTTATGGGGGGCTAGATGACAGCCAGGCAGCGCTGGACGCGACGGTCGTCTTTCCATATTCGTCACAATTTTTGTATTGCTCGTATGCGGACACCTTGTAATTCTTTATTCACAATATATGTAGTATGTATCAAGTTATTATTACGGTGAAATATATTCAATTCGTGCATTTGAATACAGTGTTGACAGTGCAGCTGTCAATGTGACTGATCTGTCAGATATTAATATGTAATAGTTGTCACATGTGCGTACTCATAACTATGGACAGTCTATATAAAACGAGGAATACTCGATTACCGAGTCTCGATATTCCCCCCAGCCCCCTGTTCTCGCCCCCTTGTACTTTTTATTATAATTCTATCTGCTACATATAACTATAGATTGTCCAGAACGATTCCAATGAAACTGTTATCAGACGATAGATGTCGCTGTTAGGAGATATTAGAACTGCTAGTGTCTACCTACTATATAATACAGTGGGTATTTGCAATGAATTATCAACGAATTGTTGATAATTATATTTAATCATTATTTCTTAAACGCTTATCCGAATTTCGCTTTTGTTCCGCTAAGGAATAAAGTATTATTTCCGTCAGCATTTTGTATATTGTACTACCATTTAACTTGAAGGGCATAATATCTAAAATTCTACTATGAATAGTAGTTTTTTATATCTTTCAAATATTGTTACTTTAGTGATCAGTTATAATTAAAACAGAAATAATTGTATTTAAATATGGTGTTATACTTTAGAGACATAATACTGCCGTAGTACTCAGGAATGGCAAAGCATGAGAGGTACTGCTCATGTCTATAAGCGACGGTTACCACTCGCCATGAGGTGGGCCGTCAGCTTGTTTGCACTTTCTAAGTTGGAAACTCTCACAATGCCATATGACTGTACACATGTATGCATGGTACACACATACGGATCGTGTACATTCGATACACACTCACTTAGGTTATTGGGTATAGGATCAGTGTTTCCCAACCTTTTTTTTGTGCCGTGCCCCACTTGAACATTTCTAAAATATTTATGCCCCCATACATAATTTTCCCCGACAAAGTTTACTTGACGACTCTAATCGCCCAGTTGATATTTTGGTAACGTCAAACGAAATTATACCTAGTAAATATTTACAGCATTTTTTTTAAATTTTTTTTTGTTAAATTTGTCACCGATATCTACTCGTAGCATTGCATTTAAACGGCTCAGACCAAGAGGGTTAATTTTTTTTAATTATCAAATTGCCCCCCTATGGGGCGTGGGCCCCACGTTGGGAAACACCGGTACAGATGGTACCTATAAGGCCAGAGGTACACGCGCGGCCGTTACTGCCAACATGTTTATACATTATAAAATATTTTATTGTATTTTTAGAATAGTTCACATGCATTCAGTGTTTGAATTCCGGCCTTGGTATTTTTTTTTTTATTTTTTATTATAGATTTATTTAGGTGTTTAGATACAGGTTGAAACTATAATATTTTTAAAATAAAGCTCACATCCAACAGTGATATACCAATACAAGTTATTGCTTTTAACGGCCAGTTGAACATCTAATGGGGAAGCTTGCGACGGTGGCGCCGTTGGGAGTAACTTTAAAAAGTCATAAAGGCGGGAAAATAACGTTTTTTTATTTCCCGCCAATTAGAGGTGGGGTAGTTTATGATAAACTACCTCATTTCTTTTACGTGATAACACAGTGGCGCCCTCATTGGTACGAATTAGCAGTAAGCTTCTCTATTATTTCAGAATTTGTTAAAGTTAAATATTCGCATGTAGTAAAAGAAATATGTCGATTGTCTATTTTATTTAAGTTTCAATTGATATCATAATGCCATACATTGAATAATCATACATCAAAAGTGAAATGTAAAGTTTGCAAACTGGTCGTATGTCCGTTTACTGCATTGGCGCGGTGTTTGTTCACCACAGTTTACAAGCGCTGCGTTATATATAATCTATGTACTGATAACTTCCTATAGATTAGTATTAGTTTACATATGTACGGAACTGTATGTAGGGACACGCACCGGAACAAACGACAGAATGAAAAGACAAACAAGAAATATACTGATTTGCAAAATTATGTGTATTATTGAGTTTTTGTGTGTTTTTTTTAGACTGCCACAGTTTTTACTATCTTAAATTATTTATATCTTATTTGTATTCTATCTGTTATAGCATAATGCAAGGGACAATTGAAAAAAAAAAAAACTAAAATATATGGATTCAAGATTTGATTTTTCTATGCATGATAATGGAATGGTAACCCTGCCTGTGCTAACGGTATAGACTGGCGGGGCACCAGTGAGGGGTGATAGGTGAGAAAGAAAGCAGGTCAGTTGGCCCATCGTGACGAATTCATACAAGAATTGTTCACGATGGTTTCCAGGCGGAACCACGTGGAGGTCGACTTAATAGAGCATATTGCTAGCAATGGGGCTGTCAAACTCCATTACTAACAATCCCTGTCCCCCCTACATACCTGGTTAAGACTGGTCCTGTCGCTACCGGATTGTGTATTTAAAATATGTGCAAACAATGTGAAAGTTTAAAATTGTCTGCACATAATAATTTCTGTTAATATTATTTGAACGTTAAGTGCAGTAACTTTTGTAACATTAAGGCAAATAGGTGAGGTAAGTAATAGTGAAAATTGAGGTATTCGAGGCATTTGCATCTGTCCGTGTTCTTGACTATGCCTCGACAAAGTTGAAGGACAACGAAGCGTCGCGTCGCCGCATACATTTTATTAATACATTTGAGTTTTATCTCCTAGAAATTGGTGTTCAAATTCAAATAAGTAAATACATTAACACAGAGTGTCAATTATATTGTTATTTCCTATGTCGTATACCGTAAATATATTAAATAATTCATGCATCGCCTCTACCTTTATGTGTATTGAGTTTTGACATTCCAACTGAAATAAATTCATGCTACTTACTGTGCTACGTTGACGAGAACAGGACGAATATAAAGATAAGTGTCCAACCGAAACAGGTTTTACAGCCGAAACCGACACCGAACTTTCGGTTTTGGTCTCAGTTTCGGCCGAAACCGAAACTTACTGAAAAATATCTATTTCAAATTTCTCTTCTATACTGAAATCTATTGTATTTTTTACACAGTTATTTACACAAACACGCAGATAGTTGAAGGGTAATAATAAACACTAATTAAAGTATGTCACAAATATGTCATATATGTATATTTATATGTAAAAAAATATTAAAATTGTGACTTACTCTTGGAAGTAAACTTAAAAAAACTTTCTGTCAGACACACACACAAAGTTTCGGCGCGGCCGAAAGTTTCGGCTAATTTTTGGCCGAAACCGAAACTAAGTTCGAAAGTAGAATTTGGCCGAAACTAGCTGAAACCGAAACCGAAAGTTCGGTCGGACACTAATAAAGATATCTCAATATATTATACAATAATAGTGACACGTGTGTCGGGGTGGTGTTGGCAGGCGTTCCTGACGCTCATCCGGCAGATGTCGTGGCTGAAGCAAGGGCTCGCCGCCGCTGAGGAGCCGCCCGACCAACCCAGCCGGCGCTGCGCCGTACGCTGCTGTACCATCTGCTAGGACTGAAGGAAAGTGGACGCTAGATGGTGGCATTTTTATACAGTCGGCTTAGTGCTTAATTTAAAAAAAAAAAAAAAATATCAAGAATAAACAAAATAAGAAACAAGTTTTGTAGACGCTTTCGGAATAAGCAGCCATTGTGATCAATATATATTAGTAAAGCATTTTTTAATTATATGTAAGAGGTTAACACTTTGCTGGTCGGGAACTCTGTCATGGTTGAAATTTTTGGAATTAAACTAAAACTGTGATAAAAACCTAAATACAAATAATAGTACATTACTGCAGCGGCCAGCAACTGAGGCATTGATGGACGAACGTGCAAATGTGGGCCGAGGCGTAGCCGAGGCACACATACCATCCATGAGTGAGTACATCAATGCCTAGTTGTGGCCAAGGCTTGTATAGTACTTTTCTCAAACAATGCGCGGAAATATAAAACACAATTTTACTTTTTAAGTTCAATGATGAATAACGAACAATAATAATTTTTCTCGCGCCATAATGTTCCTTTTGTTTTTTTTTTTCAATAAACAGCTTTCTATTTGCAAGCCAGTTCGAAATTTAAATAAAACCTTTTATTAGTTACCTCCTTGAAAGCCATGTTTCGAAGTAAAAAGGTCATTCCAGTTTTAAATTACAGGACAGATATGAGTTTACATAGTAATTTATCTGGCCGCAAAACACGACAGATATGGATTTTCATACAACTTTTGCCGGCCGCTGTCCGCATGTATCTGACCAGTACGGCAATTTTGATTTATCTCTAAGAAGATTGTCAAAATAATGCTCACATTTCCAAGCATGTTTGAGAAAAAGTAATTTTTTTATCATGAACGCTTTGTAATCCAAACTGTGTTGCCAGTCGTGATAGGAGGACGTACCTACACGCTAGTGCAATGACGAGCTTACTCGTCACCGGTCAGCAAAGTGTTAAGATAAATTCTTTTCTTTCTTCTATATTATAATCATTGATGAATTGTGTTCTAAAAACTACGACATACTGTTACTTAATAAAAATAGTTTGATATTAATTTTCGGTTAGCCTGTTAACATTTCTATGAGGCTAACTGTAGGCGTTGGGGGGAAAGGGATTGTTAGTAATGGAGACTGAGAATCCCATTGCTAGCAATATACCCAACCAGGTCGACTTCGTCGCGGTTCTCCCTGGAAACTATCATGGTTAATTGTTGATGAATTCATCATGATGGTCTAACTGGCCTGTTTTCATTCTCATCTATCACCCTTCACTGGTTCTCCACCAGCCTATCCCGTTAGCGCGTGCGGGGTTACCATACTATTTTCACCTAAAAAAAGAAACTGTAGGCATTGGCGGGTTTGGTCATTTGAAACTCGTATGTTCTCGCGACTAGCAACACCAAGAATGTTCGACATAAGTGTTACCAGTCAGTTAATGATTGAATGCAAAAATCTCACATATATATGGAATTCGCTATCATTATTATACCGTACATGTTTGTTTGTTTGTTTGTAACACTTTATTGTATAGTAGCCTTAAATTATAGGATACAGAGTTCTTAAGAAAAGACAATTCAATGTAACTTAAATGAAAAAAAATATATATAATTGTTTATAATTACTCCTCCCAACCAAAGATTGCCTGGAAGAGATCGCTCTTAGCGATAAGGTCGCCCATTGTTTTCTCATTGTGATTATTTCTTGTAATTCACGAACCTTGGCATTTATCATAATAATGGTATAGCAATGTTTATTATAAATTTATAAAAAATATTCGTAATATTGTCTTTGACCAACATCTTTATAAAGAGATCACGCTCAATAAAGTATCTAACTAATTAAGACAAATAATAGCTTAGATTACACTCGTTGCATACATATGTTGTACATACATATGCTTAAAATTAAGTTAATTTTAATACAAAATATTTACATTCTATTTTAAAATCTTATAAATAAAATAAATTGAGATAAAACTTTAAGAAGTATTTTATTTAGCCAGATTGGTGAGTCGATCACTTGAATGACAAACGTGCATGGTGTTGCATGGTTAATCATGCACGGGCTTTTAACGACCATGCAATTTTAAACATAGTAAGTACCTATTTCTAAATAAATACAGATAATGTTAACAGAGATTTAAAAGAGTAACCGTTGAGTTTCTAGCGGACTCTTCTAAACAGATAACAACTTTCCGAACCCTGCAGCAGATTTAAAAAAAAAAATGACGATTTAAAAGTGCTTGTAAACAAGTCTATTTGGATTAAAGATGATATAAATTTGAAACTAGGAAAACACCACTGGAACCATTTCTATAAACTCATTTCTTATATTTTAAGTTATAATTTCACGAAATAACTGTTTGATGAACCATCATAAAATAATTTATTTATTAAAAAATAAATATATTTTTTATACAACTTAGGATGGCAAACAAGCTGTCGGCCCACCTGATGGAAAGTGGTAACCGTCACCTATAGACACGAGCAGTAGCATGTACATAACAGAGTATACTGTTTTACCCATTATACCCCCATTCTTGAGAACTTGGGTGTTATTCCTCTGTAGCCTGTAAATTCACGCCATATCCCACCATTCAAACCGAAACACAACCATGCAAACACAACTGCTTCATGGTAGAAACACGAATGAGACAGAGGTGTCCAAGCAAACGACTCTTGTACAAAATATTCCTATAGTATATTTCACTTCCATAAGCAAATAGTAATAATAATCACAAAATGATAATAAATTAAATGTAGTAATAATTTCCATGCCCAGCAACTAGCAATCCCCTATCCCCTGTAACAACTGACCCCCAACATCATAATCTGCTTGATTATGTTTATATGCATCGTATGTTTATATGCATCGTATGATTATATGCATCGTATGATTATATGCATCGTATGATTATATGCATCGTATGATTATATGCATCGTATGATTATATGCATCGTATGATTATATGCATCGTATGATTATATGCATCGTATGATTATATGCATCGTATGATTATATGCATCGTATGATTATATGCATCGTATGATTATATGCATCGTATGATTATATGCATCGTATGATTATATGCATCGTATGATTATATGCATCGTATGTTTATATGCATCGTATGTTTATATGCATCGTATGATTATATGCATCGAATGATTATATGCATCGAATGATTATATGCAACTAATGATTATATGCATCGAATGATTATATGCATCGAATGATTATATGCATAGAATGATTATATGCATCGTGTGATTATATGCATCGTGTGATTATATGCATCGTGTGATTATATGCATCGTATGTTTATATGCATCGAATGATTATATGCATCGAATGATTATATGCAACTAATGATTATATGCATCGAATGATTATATGCATCGAATGATTATATGCATCGAATGATTATATGCATCGTATGATTATATGCATCGTATGATTATATGCATCGTATGATTATATGCATCGTATGATTATATGCATCGCATGATTATATGCATCGCATGATTATATGCATCGAATGATTATATGCATCGTATGATTATATGCATCGAATGATTATATGCATCGTATGATTATATGCATCGAATGATTATATGCATCGTATGATTATATGCATCGAATGATTATATGCATCGAATGATTATATGCATCGAATGATTATATGCATCGTATGATTATATGCATCGAATGATTATATGCATCGAATGATTATATGCATCGTATGTTTATATGCATCGTATGATTTTTTAGCTATATTGATTTATTGGTTCACTGGAAGGTGAATGTCAATTTTTTTTTACGATTCAAAGGAGTTTATATAAATCTTATGCGAGTATATAACGACCTAGGATGTGTAAAAGGTAGCACTGAAACAATTGTATGTAACAAATCAATTTATTATTAAATATTTTTTATACAAAACATAAAAATGTACAATAATCAGTCAAAACATTACACTTATTGTGTTAGCTAATGTTATTTGATAAAATTTTGCATTTAAAGCTTGGACAACTTATTTATATACATACTAGTGATCCGCCCAGGTTTCGTACATGTAGATAAATGGGATCTCTAATTTTCTTAAACAATTTTTGACATAAAAACTTTTTTTATCAAAAATTTTCACCTATACGTGTGTATAGGTGAAAAAAAATCTACTTTCATTGAGTGACGTAGGCTATATTATTTAAACAAAATTACAATTAACCGATTTTACAGTTTTTGAGTTTATGAATCATAAACAAACAAACACACAAAAAATCTAATGTTTTCTCTTTACAATATGAAGCATAGATATTACATGACTATCCTTCAAAAAATGAAGAAAAATAAGGGAGCTTATGATGGAGGGATGGGCAGCGGCGTCCTTCTTAAAAGATCTTCAAAGTCCTAACTGCAGTTGCCAACCCGCCTGCCAAGCGTGGCAACTACTGGCAAAACTCCCCCTATGGGGAAGGCTTATGTCCAGCAGTGGACAGGTAACGGCTGAAATAAAACATTAAATAATCTATCAAGTAATAATATAAAGAAATAATAATATTTAATAGTGAAATATTATAAACTACCAACATACTACATTGTCATATTCGTATGAAAATTCTACCACGACGCACGATATCAGCGAGTCTACCATGAAATGAAATTCCGAAATTTCAGACTCAATTTTGTGTTTTTGTTTATATCAAAATCGGATCAATAAATGGAGTTTAACATTTCGTTCGTCATACATCCTATCATAAAAGTCCAAAGGAAAAATATTTTAACATTTTTTATATTTTCAAACGGCGTGTATTATGTAATTTTAACATCAAATTTGTGTTTCATTTGGCTCCGAAATTTCGGAAAACATTTCATTGTAGATCCTCAGCTGTGTAAGGTCAACGCCACGAGCGTACGAAACTACCTACGAAGAAGCGCCATTATCCGCGCGGTAGGTATCGCGCGTCGTGGGGATCGTAAAATTTCAAATACATTGCGCGGCGGTAAAACTAAGAATCGTTAATTATATTTTTATTTTATTTTATTTTTATTTTTGTGGCACAACAACAGATTACAAACAAAACTTTTAACAATAGAATACAACAGTAGCATTATAAGTTTGCAATCCAATTATAGTTGTACACAACATTCACAGAGGGGAAACAGAATAGGTTGATTTTTACTACAAAAAGAATTAATGATAAAAACTAGATACAAAACAAGAATCAAAAACAAAACTACCAAACTATGCTTATAAACTATTAGGTTATCAATGTATGTAAAGTGCTTCGATACAATGAAAATTTCTGATAGAATATGTCAATATACGATTTACAATCAATGTCATTGTACAATTTGCACATTCTGTACATTGGATTATTATATGACACATTATTATATTGTTTGCGAACGGTATAGAAAAGAGTATGCCTGTGGAGCATTTCCGATGGGAAAATAAAATACCATTTGATTCAGAATATTTATCTGAATCAGCTGTTTTCGTTTTAGCCAACCTATCCCCTCCACCTTGTATATGATCATACATACATATATATTTATTTTATACAAGTTTTTTGCAATAAGTACATATTTACATTTTTAGTATAATTGTTACATTTTCAAATTAAGAAATTTTATGGGGTACAGAAAAATGGTACGACACGTCACATGGGAAAGAGGGAGGGCGAAATATCTTCAAAAATCGCATCGTAATATTCGAACGTCCCATAACTGACGGAGTTATGAGGTAACAAACGAAAAAATCGAATTGAGAACACCTCCTTTTTTGAAGTCGGGTAAAAATTATAAAAAACAGATTGATGTATAATTTATTTGCATTATTTACAGCACACAAATAACAATAGATACATACCTATGCAAAAAAAATAAAATAAAAGAATACATATACAAAAAAAATGGAAAAACGTAAATTAGACAAGGTAAAAAATATAAAATTTTGCCAATCTAGCAGAAGATGCTCAGACGTAATGCTCACACTAATATAAACAAGTAGTTACTAAGAATAACCTTCAGTTTTATGTTTTCTCTCTTAATAAATAAAATAAATACTACATAATTGTGTAGTGAACTATGTTGTTTCATTTGTGATTTCAAGAAGTATGTAATTGGTAGATCGCACGGGGTTTCGTCAGTAAACAGTAGATCTTGGGTCTAGTCAAAACGGCCACCCCTGATGTATATCATATTCTATACAAAATGTGATGGTGTACTGTTCCTACTACTATTCGTGAGAAGATGTTACACAGTCACGTGAAGGCCTCTGATACGGCTTGCCGGATGGCGACTGTATATGCCTTTTGAAGCACGATAAAAATGGCGATCATTTTTCAATCCAACCATGAATTCAAAATTCCGAGGCTGGGATTTGATCTTTGAACCTCGAAACTGCAGACGTCCAACTGGACTTCCACCACTACAAGCTATGGTTGCATAGTCCAGCAGAAAAGTCTGGTTGAACTCCAGTAACTACAGTAATATTTAATGCATACTTTAGCTGCGTCTATTCCGCCGAAGTGGCGATATGCAGTTCTTACCTCGGATGGTCGGTTCAGGCGAGGGGCGCTGCGAGCGGGCGCGGCTGCCGCGGTCAGCCGAGCTGGCACTGGTGGCCGCAGCCGGCCGGGCACAGCTGGTGCTGCTCCAGCCAGCTCTTCATGTGCTGCAGGTGGCCGCCGTGCGAGCAGCCCTGGCACCACGCGTACAGCCCGCGCACCACCTGCCAAGTACCACATATCATGAATAGCATTTGAATGGTGACACTATCTATATAGTTTAAGACTCAAACAGCGTATGAATTAAAAACTATCTCGGCGAGTGTGCGTCGCTGGTGTGGTACCTCGTGGCAGACGGCGCACAGGTCGGGCGAGTGCCGCGGCGGGCAGCGGTCGCAGGGCGCACGAGGACGCGTGCGGCGGCCGCAGCCCCCGCAGCACGTCGCCACGCTCGTCGACTGCTGCGACAGCGACCACACGCTGCTCAGCCACGCGCACCGGATCACCTGCATCGCACGCCGCATTCAACGTTCAACAACGACAGAGCGAGACCGCTGCTCAGACTAATGTTGCCGTATCATCGAAATTAAAAACAATAAATAATTCCAAAAGTTATAATTAATGTAAATAAATAAATAAAAAAAATTGCCCAAAAAAAGCAGAACTAACATCCTCTTTTGAGTGACTAAAAGTAGCCAGATATAGTTAAAAAAAAAGAGGTCTAATTTGGCAACACTGTACCTAAAGACGATAATCGCATCCGAACAGATCATACACGTGCAACTGATCAATTTGTCTAGAAATCGTATCAGATTTACGAGATGCATTGAAGAAATCTAATGTTATCCAATCAAAAATCTAGCTAACATATGGACTATCAACATTTATACATCAACTTGTCACCACACCACAACATTTCAATTTCAAAACGATCGAGCAATCTAATTATCGATTCATAGAGTTTTTACAATTATAAGGACTAAAATAGAAAAAAATAAATATTTTAACTAATAAAAAACATTTAACTAAAAAAAAAGGTTAAAAAAAACAATAAATTTTAATTGAAATTTTCCCGCTATCGTTGACAATAGTTGAATTTGTTTTAAAACATTTTTACGGCTTTGAGTACTCATCTATTCGATGGTTGAGTCTTAGAGGGAATACACTGTCTAAAGTATTTAAATTCAAATAATATATTGCACGAATATGGGTACATAGATAAGGTGAAAATATTGTTTCTAAATGTATTATTCTACATATAAAGTGTAATGTAATACAAATATAATATTTAATGTCCACTCACCTCGGTGGCGACGTTCCACATTTTGTGACGCTGAAGCAGCTCGATGTACCCGAGCAACCACTGTTCCTGGAGGCTCTCGTCGATGTAAGGGAAAAGGTCACTCCTGCAGTAGAATTATATTTAGTTTAAATTATAAGGTAATTATACTAATGCTATTAGTTGAATCCATAATGACTCTATTGTGCCAATTTATCTCATTTTCATTTTTTGTTTAGCATTTAATTTAGTAGTATCTAACAATTAGCATCCTTATTTGATTTAAAAAATTTTCGCGTTATAAATAAATTCGTATTATCATAATAAATCCGGCGTGAAGGACTAAATTGTTAGGTACTGTAAGTTTTTATTATGTGGGCTGAATAGAATAGAAAAATGGTGAATAAACAGTCATAATGAAGTAATTGTCGATGATTTAGGGTATATACAATTAGGAACGTGACGATGTATTGAGAGTGTCGAGTAACTCTGGCAGCGGCACCTGTACTCCTGCAGCACGATCATGACGACGGCGGCGGTCTGCACGTCGCCCAGGTCGGCGTGGTGGCGCAGCGCCGCCGCCAGCAGCGGCGCCACGTCCAGCGGCACGCGCGCCGCCCGCCCGCCGCCCGCGCCGCCGCCCGCCGGCCCCGCGCCGCCGCCGCCGCCGCCCCGCATGCACAGCCCGCCCACTTCACCGCCTTCGCTCACCTCTATATCTTCCATCTGGCCGGTACAATAATATATCCTGAACTTTATTCCCGGAAGGAATGAAGTTATATCTTTAAAGACAGTAGTTTAAAATTATCAAAATTCAAAATTCAAAATTCAAAATTCAAAAATCATTTATTCATGTAGGACATTTTAGCCGCTTATGAACGTCAAATTTTTACATTATAATTTTATATTTACCCTACCGTCCAGTTCGGTATATAGATCCAATTGAGAAGAACTGGCAAGAAACTCAATTGAATTACTTTTTTTTTTTAAAGCCAGTTTATTTACAATGTATATTTATATAGGTGTCTATGTCTAACATTAAATGAAAATTCAGTGCATGAACAACTATTGCCATGCACACTCGTCATTCAAGTAATCGTTTAGTGAGTAATAGGCTTTGCTCAGTAAATATGATTTAACAGATGTTTTGAATTTATTTAAGGGTAATTCCAACATATCCTTTGGTATCTTATTGTAAATTTTTATACCTATTCCCATAAAAGACCTATTAACTTTTTCTAAACGATACTTGGGGACAGCAAGTTTGTCTTTAAATCTAGTATTAATATTATGAATATTGCTGTTTTTTGGAAATAAGTCAAGATTTTTATGAACATATAGAATATTTGAATATATAAATTGAGAAGCAACGGTGAGAATATTTGCCTCTTTGAATTTCTCTCTTAATGAGTCACGACTCTTCATACAGTAGATCGCTCGAACGGCACGTTTTTGTAATATGAATATATTCTTAATATCTGCCGCTTTTCCCCATAGTAATATTCCATAAGAGAGTAAACTATGAAAATAACTAAAATAGACTAATCTAGCAGTATCAGTATCAGTGTACTGTCTAACTTTACGCACGGCAAAAGCTGCTGAACTTAGTTTCGCTGCAAGGCTTTGAATTTGTGCACCCCATTGTGTTTTATTATCTAGTGTGATTCCTAGAAAGACAGTAGATTCTATAAATTCGAGAGATTCGTCATTTAATTTAATATTGCAATTAGTATTAAAACTTTTAGATAGAGAGAAATTAACACATTTTGTTTTTTTAGCGTTTAACATAAGATTGTTAGTTGTAAACCAGTGCAGGAGACGCCGCAAAGCACTATTTACATCGTCATAATTATTAGTCATTCTATTAACTTTAAAAATCAATGAAGTATCGTCTGCAAACAATACTATGCCGCATCTATCCTGCATGGCATATGGGAGATCATTAATGTAAACTAGGACTAAAAATGGACCGAGAATAGATCCTTGAGGTACACCCATTTGCACAAGTGACCCGTCAGACGTAGCGTTGCTAATCTTCACTTTCTGTATTCTATCAGATAGATAAGATTTTATTAAATTTAAAGCATTGTCTTTTACGCCATAAAAAGCAAGTTTTTTTAGCAATGTATTATGATCAACGCAATCAAAAGCCTTAGAAAGGTCACAAAAAACACCTATCACATCCATTTTAGTTTCCCATGCAGCAAATACGTGTCTAAGCAACTCTGCACCTGCGTCTGTAGTTGAACGACCTTTGGAAAAACCGAATTGACTATTGTGGATTAAATTATTTAAATTGAAATAACTGACAAGTTGCATAAGGATTATTTTTTCAAAAATTTTACTGAGTGCTGGGAGTATGGATATAGGTCTATAATTTATTGGGTCACTCCTATCTCCAGATTTAAAAAGCGGTATGATTTTACTAATTTTCATTATGTTAGGAAATTTACCTTCATCTATACATTTATTGAAAATAAAAGCAAGAGAGGGCGCAATAATTTCCATTATACTATCCAGTATTTTAACAGATATACCCCATAGATCCTCTGTTTTTTTATTATTAAGTTGTTTGAATATTTTCATTATTTCTACTGATGATGTATGTCTAAAGTTAAATACAGCTGATGACTTGCTAACATTGTCTGTTAGTAAAGTTTCAGCAGCAGACGGGGAAGATTTTAGAGCCTGTGTCGTAATTAATGGAATATTAGTAAAATAAGATTCGAATGTATGCGCGACCTCTGTGTCGGAATTTACCAATTTGTTATTAATATTTAAAGCTATTTTGCTATTTTGAAAATTAACTTTTCCAGTTTCGCTATTTATTACTTTCCAAGTGGCTTTTATTTTATCTTTAGATTTAGTTATTATTTTACCTAAATAGAGAGACTTAGCTGTATGACAAACCTTTTTAAATATTTTCGAATAAGATTTTACATGTTCATGAAATAAGGGATCGGATATATAGCTTCGTTTTTCGTAAAGTTCGTAAAGATTAGCCCTAGACTTATAAATACCAAACGTGGCCCAGTCACAAAACTTTGATTTTACACTAGTTGAAAATGTTTTTGTTTTAAATTCACTGCTAGCTTCATGTTCAATTAAATTAAAAATATGTTCACATACAATGTCCGGGTCATATTGAGGTACTATGACACTAGATATTTTATGTTCAATTTTATTTTTAAAACGTGCCAAATTCTTTTGTGTTATTTGTCTGCATGTAATTGTTTGAGTCCCTTTGGATCCCTTAGTTTCAATTATAACTTTTTGTCCGTAATGATCAGATCCAAGACAGTCGAAATTCATTTTCACCTTTACTTCACAATTACAAAAAACATTATCTATACAAGTGGCAGAATTTCCTGCGACCCTAGTGGGTTCTAAAAAAAGATTGTGCAAATTAAATGATTTAAATAAGTTAATCAATCTTAAGCTTATTGAGCATTCCGATAATAAATCAACATTAAAATCGCCACATACAAATAATGTTTTATTCCTCCGTGCGACTCGTCTCAATGCTTCCTCCATAGCCAGTTCAAAAGAATCAAAACAAGCCGATGGCGGACGATAAACGCAAATTATTATACAAGTAACTAATTCTACGCAAGATAGTTCAATTGTTTGCTCAATAGAAATATTTACAATGTCTTGACGGTTTTTATATTCTACATCATTTTTTAAAATAATAATTGACCCGCCATGAATGGCATTGTTCCTAGCAAAAAACTAGCTATATTATAATGTTCAAAAGGACAAATTATTTCATATTGTTTAAGCCAATGTTCTGTCAGACATAACACCCGTACATTGTTAGATTCTAAGAAAAGACTTAATTCTAATTCTTTGCTGGAGAAGCCACGAATATTTTGATGAATAATGACCATATCCTGTGGCTTAACCAATGTCGTAGATGTTAGTTTAAATTAACACATGTCACATTATTAGTATAATTACTAATATTACTAATTAAACCCGTTATACTACTTATAATGGGATCATAAATGTTATACGCTAGTAAACTAGCAATAGTCTTTTTTTGTTTTTTAGGAAGATAAAAATTACCTCCCGTCATATAATAATTTGTAACAAATTTGTTACTTTCAAAATAAAATATATCATTACAATGATATGTCATCGAATAAATTAAATTATTTATACTATAAATGAACTTATTCTGTTCATTAGTCAGGGATTGAGAGTAGGGAAATGCGCATAATAATATTTTACCTATACCAAGCTCCACTATATTATATAATGATTTTATTAAATTAACTATATCAGATTTACGCATATGCAAACAATTCCCTAACGCTATTACTAGGGTCGTGTGAATATCATATTTTTCATTTACTATATTTTTTATAATCTTATATATACCTGATCCCGGAAAACAATTATTTATTACTTGTTGCGAGAGGCAGTTCGATAATAAACTACCTAAATCCTTGCCAAATTCATCTGAATAAACAATTGTTCTCCTGATGGTTTCATGTACAGTGCTGCATTTATTTACTTTTGTACTGTTTCGTGTGGGTAAACATGAAACGTCTGGCTCCGTAACGGATGAGATATCAATGTTCAACTGATTATGGTGGGACGGTTGGATATAGTTATCAGACTCTGGTGAATTACAGTGACATCTATCCGCAAGAGAAACAAACCGCTCCATGTTGTAGTTACCTAATTTTATTAAATTATCCAACTGATCAGAATATTCATGTATTTCATTCTTAGCTGATTCGTATTTCAAAGATAAATTGGACAACGAGTTCTCTAATAGTTTAATTTTTTGTGATAATTCATCTATTTCTAAATCTTTGTTATATATTTTTTCTTTACAATTATTTAATTCTATTGATAAGTCAATTTTTTGCTTCCTAGTAATAATTGATTTTAAACACTTTTTATGACTTTTCACTAAATTTTCTGATTTTCGAATAAATTTATTTAATTTTACATATTTTTTTAACTTCTTACTACTATTAATAGGTACTTTATTAGGACTATAGGAGCTTGGTGTATTTGTCAAATCTATGGTCATAAGGGGCAGAGCAGATGTTTGATCACTAGTAGTATTTAACATTTCTGTATACAGATCCATGGTCTCGTTATAACTACTCAACCGCCTGTGATCCAACAAAGATTTATTTTGTGATTGAACTTCCTCAAGGTGCCGCTCTAGATGAGTGATTTTCTGCAATGCTGACTCATATGTGTCTCTGCACAGATCATATTTATTTACAATTTCTTGAAGTTTTTCTTTTTCGATATGTAGAACTTCAAAGTCTGAACTGATCTTCACTAGGTCATTCTTCAGAGCCACATATTTATCAGACATCAACTTAATTTCAATCTCACTTTCATCTCGTTCCTGTAATAAGGCCTTATTTAATTCATTGGATTTTTTTAACTCTAAGAGTGTCACCTTGAGCTTAGCATCAAGATCACATGCTCTGCGGGACATCATTTTCAATTATTATGTTAAATATCTACGAAACAAGACAACAATGAATATTATTCAATAGAAGAAATACAGTGTTGAAAGTGCGCTATTTCCCTTCAATAAAATAATACAATAAATAATTTAATAATAAATAAATAAATAAATATTGTTAGTAAAAACTTTAAATACCAATACTGTTACAAAAAAAATAATTAATCTTATATATTACCACTACAGTAAATATGTCTTAATTTGTCATATGATATCTAGCAATGGCTATGGATTACTAATATTGTATTGTTATTTAATAAAATACATAAGTTTAGTTTCGTACAGCTATTTGGAATATATTATCAATATGATAATAAATAAATTTTATGAGCTGTAATTATTGCAATAATATTTTATGTTAGTGGGTAGTTTTTTTTTTTTTTTCCTCTCAACAACAACCGATCTTCACTATCGAATATTTGACTTTAATATTATTGTTTATTTGTAAATGGATATAGTAATAGTGAAGTGTAATAACTGTATTTAATTATTAAAGGAGTCAATAGAAATCCAAGACTTCTATTGTAAATTACCAATACTTTGACAGTTGGCGGTCCCACAAATTTTGTAACGTAGATTTTTGTCACAAAGAAATCACAGATTTACACACCAACAACAATCGACGTTACTTATGACCAAAACTCACTGATTATATACACTATTATCGTTATTTCACAAGTAATAAATTAAAAACAATAAATAAATAAGAGCCAACTGACAAAGACTGTTATCGGCAGTGTTGCCAGAGAGAAAAAAAAAAATTCGTTTCAATGTCAGTGACCTTAACTTAAGTTATAAATCAACATTCATACCATGTTAACCGAAGATTGGTGGCTATAGGCCTTGTCATAGGGCGGCGCTGTCGAGTTGGAGCTGCTGGAGCCCCCGGGGGACGAGCCCGAGCCGCCGGGGGACACGGACGGGGCCACGCCCCCTCCCGCCCCCACGCCCACACTCATAGCGCCCACACCTCCCACACCTCCCACACCTCCCACACCTCCCCCGGCCCCTGTACACCGTGCACTTTGTAAAATTATGAATACTTTGAGACAAATATAAAGACTCATTAATATTATATAGCAGAATTCGAATCTCGTTTAATGTACTGAAAAAAGATAACATTTAATATGTTTATCATTGCAAAATTAATATATATTGACATAGCAAATTATAATATAAATCGTCCGCTGACCGTCGTCGTCGTGCGGCGGGTGCAGCAGCGCGGGCCCGGGCGGCGGCGGCGGCGCCGGCGGCGGCGGCGCGCTGCGCAGCGGGAAGGCCTCCTCGGGCAGCGTCCAGTCGGCCGCCTCCACGTCCACGTAGTGCGCCGACGCCGCCGACACCCAGCCCGCATTCTCTGCGCACGCGCAACCACGATAACGTTATTGTCCACCTTACTAGTCGAATTAATGGACACACTTCGAAGCAATTATAATTTTCAAAATTTTGAATATAATATGGTATACATCACGACCGTAACTAGATTGTGTTTGTGCGCTTATCATACATACATGAACGAGTTTGGTTAAAATATATACATATACAGGGTGGTATTTAAATGTCTGTATTCTCTTTAAAGGGATATAGTATTAACATATATACGTTACAGTAATGACAGAATTTCATGTCACATTTTTTACATTTACATTTTACGGGAAAATTATGGTTTATTTACGAAGCTAGCAATACAGTATTAATTTTTATCCAATTAAATACATTGTCCATTTAACATAGATCAATATGACCATTTACAGAATGTAATTTAAATTAATATTTCCGAAGATATTACAAATTTAAAATGTAGGGACATAGCGGTGCAGCGGTACCGGCCCGGCCGGCGGCGCGTGCCGGATAATATAATAGCGCGTCGAAGGCCGCGCTTCGTCCTATAGCACTTTATCATGTTTGTATTGTCTAATGACAAAAAAAGCTATAAACGTTGTTTATAAGGACATTCTGTAGTAGGTAGGTATATTTAGTATCAGCAAAGCCGGGACGGGTCGCCAGTAATGTATATATTTAATATGCCTCGTAGCAGAGGATGCTGATAATTTGGTACAGATTATCAGCATATCATAGTCGGGAAAATCAGTCGTATTTTTGAGTCGTTTGTAAGCAGTGGAAGGGAGAGATCTATTGTAAACATATATGATAAAAAAATATAGCCGCAGAGAACAATACGAGTAGTACCGTCACCATCGTGGTCGCGCAGCTGCTTAGCGTACTTGGCGGGCGGTATGTAGATGCTGAGGGTGGGCATGCCCAGCACGCCGCTGTTGTGGAACTGCGTCTCCGCCCACTCCTCGACCTCTTCCAGCGGCTCCTCGTCCGCAGTGCTGCGGGGCACGAGCTCGTATTACTTCGCTGAACGTGAGCGGTGTATTTGCAGGGGGAGGAGGCGACGGCCGTAGTACCTGTCGGAGGGCGGGTGCGCGGGCGGCGGCGAGGGCGGGCGCGGGCGCGGGTGTGGCGTGTGCGGCGGCGGCGGCGGCGCGGACGGCGCGGACGGCGCGGGCGGCGCGGGCGCGCGCGCGGCGGCGGCGCGGGCGGCGCACAGCGCGCGCGCCGCGTCCCACACGAGCGCGGCGAGCGGGCGGCGCTGCGCGCGCGCGGCGGCGGCGTTGTGCGCGGCGCAGGCGGCCGGCGCGCCGCGCAGCCGGTAGCGCGCCGCGCAGCGCAGCAGCGCGCCGTGCGCCGCGTCGCCGCCGCCGCGCGCGCCGTGCCGCGCCAGCGCCGCCGCCGCGCCGCTCGGGAACGCGCGCTCCAGCGCCGCCTGCGCCGCCGCGCCCAGCGACCCCGCCGTCGGCTGCTTGCGCCTGCGCACGACACACACCATGCACTTTTGCCATCTCATAAACAGTTCATTGATCCTTTTACTAGAAAAAGCATAGGACCAAGAATCAATAAACTCTTTGAAGACGGCTTGAACTACCGCATCGGAGTTGAATTTTTTTCATTATAAAGAGTTGTCCTAATTCCGGAAAAAATAGTCATTTGTTGGATCCGGTAAATGTAAGGTCCGGAAAGTCGACATATCAAATGTCGACATTCCAATTGTAGCTCATCTAACATAGTGGTTGTTTGTTGTACAATGTGTGGTCTTGCGTTGTCGTGAAGCAGCAGTGACCTAAAGCGATTGACCAATCTCGATTATTCAGCAGCTAGTTCTTCCTTCATGGTTTCCAGTTACTGACAATACATATCTGCCGTAATCGTTTGGCTAGATTTTAGAAAGCTATAGTAAACGACACCGGCACTAGTCCACCAAACACTCACAAGTAACTTTTTCTAAGTCAATTGTCGTTTGGGGCAGGATTTTGATTTAATCTCCAGGGTTCAGCTATTGCGACGAGCACTTTTGGTTATCGTACAGTATCCACTTTTAGTCACAACTTTTCGATTTAAAATCCCTTCATTATTGTGTCGGTTAAGCAAAATAACATAATAGTCGACGCGTGTTTGCAAGTTCGATTCACTCAATTCATGAGGTACCCATCGTTAAAGTTTTTTTACTTTCCCGATTTGCTTCAAGTAGATTAATATAGTTCATCACTTACCCCGAAGCCTGCAGCGATTTCTGAAGTGCTTTGTGATGGATCCGCGTCCACAATAGCATTTAATTCTCCATTTTCCATTTTGGTCTCCGGCCGTCCACGGGATTGGTTCAGAAGGTCGAAATTTCCAGAGCGAAAACGTTGAAATCAAAATCGTACCGTGCTTTCTTTTGCGACACCAGCACCGTACAAATCATTAATCCTTCGAACTGTTTTTGCAGCACTGGTGTCATGGTGGAATTCGTACTCGCAAATATATCGATATGTCATGTTTTCCATTGTGCGATAATAAGCGACGCCAAGGAAAGTAATAATTAGGAAAAAACAAATGAATGACTGTTTTCAAAACTCAAATGTACCAGCTAAATGGATTTATAAATTTGGAATTCTTAACCAGAGAGGAGATATTTCAGATCAAAGTGGTCAGTACGACAAAACGCTAATTTCACATGTAAGGAGCTAATATTAAAGTTCCTAGACTAAGCTATTCTATATGCCGGTGAGTAGACCGGAAGCTGGTCCGGAGCGGGAGTACGTACCCGAGGCCGGGCGGGGGCGGCGGAGGCGGCGCGGGCGGGCGCGCCAGCTGCTGCGGCGGCGCCAGGGCGGGCGGCAGGGGCCGCTCGGGCGTCGCGTGCGCCACCTCGCCGCGCGCCGACACGCACACGCCCTGCGGGTTGGCCCACAGCACCGGGTGCGCCGCCTCCGTGAACCGGTGCCGGTACAGGCTGCAGTCCTACCACCACGGATTATCCTCGTGCAAGTTCCAATAAATTTGTAACAGTACAATAAATTGAATCTGAACATTGTAAATTATTAATAAAATTTGTCTGTATGTAAAAAAAAATGTTTTAATGATTTCTTCATACATAAAATAGTAAAAATCTAGCAATACACCTTACTTTATATTAATAATGTCAAATTCGATTTCAAATTGTATAAATTTAAAATATATTTTTTTTTAAAGTAATGCAAATCTGATGAAAGCTTGCAGGATGCAAAGGGGGTTTATAAGAGATAGAAGGGACTCCGAGAGGGGCAGAAGATTGCGGAGGGCACCGACCCTGCTGGTGGAGAGGAAGGCATGTGGCGTGGCGAGCCAAGCAATGGCGGTGGTGACGTCGCGGTGCTCGGCGAAAGTGGCGAGCGGCACGTGCGGCCGCCGCACGTCCCACACGTGGACCGCGCAGTCCAGCACCAGTGCACACGACGCCACCTGGTATCTGCGCCACACAATACATTGAACAAAGAAATGCTGGTGTCTAAGTGACAACCAAATGGTATCCTAACCTTGAAGTGAACGGCCCTCCTTACCCCCTTAAGCCGAACCTGGATCGGTCATACTTTAATTCGTGATGTGAACGTTTTCTTGTTCTCTTTTTTGTTTCTCTTCAATAAAATATTCTAAATATTAAAATAAAACAGGGAATAATCAAAACGCAGTCCTATCTCCGCGTCGGTCTAAGCTCGCATAGAATTTGCAATTGTCTGAACAATAGAAATAAGGTCTCAATTCAATAACTCACTTCCTCTGCGGCCTCCACTTGACGTGACCCACTGATGCTATTGTGTATATCGTGTGCTCCAGATTTGGTTTCGCGTGGACGTCCCATACCTTCAAACATATAAACAGCTTCATTATCTTCCTATTTCCTTGTCATCACTGTCCACTGCTGAACATAAACCTCCCCTTGGGGGGTTTTGCCAGTAGTTACCACGCTTGGCAGGCGGATTGGCAACTGCAGGTAGACTTTAGAGAAGTTTTAAAAGGGATGCTGCTGCCCATCTCCCGCCTTCGGGAAAGGAAGGGGTGGCCTATTCTATGCCGGGACCACACGTCAGTAGGGATAATATTTATTCTATTATATGTATCACATCTCCCACATTAAGAACTAACAAAATTTTTCATCGTGCTTCCCACCAAATTGTTTATAATTACTCCTCTCCATCCAAAGGTTGCCTGGAAGAGATCGCTCTTAGCGATGAAGCCTCCTATTGTTTTCTCACTGTGATTATTTCTTGTAATTATTTATATTTATAATAAGTTTACTATTGTAATCTTTTGGAGGAAACAATAAAGAGTATCTATCTATCTATCCCTCTCATGTATTTTAAAGACTCACAGAAAATTCTATATTATCTGTGGGGCTGTTCATATTTATAAGCGACGATTACCACTTTTTGTCACATCTATTATCGACTCCTAAATTCATTTCTTATAGTCTGTAAGAGACAAGTCTATATTAAATCGTCAATTTTTTTTAATGGATGACAATGGAATGGTAACCCCCGCCTGCGCTAACGGTATACACCGGCGGGGCACCAGTGAGGGGTAATAAGTGAAAATGAAAGAGCAGGTCAGTTAGCCCATCGTGATCAATACACCTGTAATTCAGCACGATGGTTTCCAGGGGGGACCATGTGAAGGTCGACCTGTCAGGGTATATTGCTAGCAATGAGACTGGTAGTCCGCATTACTAGTCTATATTAAATCGCCAATGGTTTTTTTTAATGGATGATAATGGAATGGTAACCCCGCCTGCACTATCGGTAGAAGTTGGCGGGGCACCAGTGAGGGATGATAGGTGAGGATGAAAAAAGACAGGTCAGTTAGCTCATCGCGATGAACACACTTGGAACTCAGCACGATGGTTTCCAGGGGGACCACGGGGAGGTCGAACTTGGGTATATTGCTAGCAATAGAGCTCTTAGTTTCCATTACTAACAATCCCCCTCCCCCCAATGGCCAATGGTAGACTGATGTGGTGATTCACATGCGATCCGGTTTAGAACAATCATGACATAACAATTTGGCATATATTACATCCAAGTGTCGTGATAAGCCGAACACGTGACACCGGTGTCGCGTCTGCTGAGAGTTATCGCGCTGACCCACATTTGCAAACTAGATATTGTCATAAATACATTTGAAACTAGCTATTTGCTATTACAAGTTCGTATTTAGGTTTTAACGCTTTACTTAATGATGTTGATATCATTAATGAACGCCCAAGCACTTTTAAAAAGCTAATCTCTAAAAGATTCACGTAATTTTTAACTGTTCTTGTTTGCTTCAGCTATTTGTATTATATTTGAATTGAAACTGTGGTAAATTTGCCACCAACACCGTTTGGTGGCAAATTTACTCAATGTTTTCTTTGATTAATATTATGTATTATTATATATTTTGTCACTGTTAGTTTTCCCAAATAAATAAATAAAAAAAAAAACAACTCGGTCATGATTATGTTATGCCAATGGAGTGGGCCACTCCTTCCTTTCCTATAGATGTCGTAAGAGGCGAATAAAGGAACTTCATAGTGAAGTGATGAGCAACAGCGTCCCTCTTAAAACACCACCGAAGCCTAACTACAGTTGCCACCTTGCCTAAGCGTGGCAACTACTAGAACCCCCCCCCCCCCTATTGGGGAGGCTATGTTTAGCGATGAACAGTTAATTTGTTATTGGTTGATACAAAAAATGTTGCCAAATTCGGTGCGACATTGTTTTGTCTACACGTAGACATGAAATCTTTGTCAATTGTTGTATTTTAAGAGCACTGGCAGGTTCTAGATTAAAATCAATATAATTAACCAGAGGGAGACTTTGTACAAAAGTCCATTCGTGTTTCAAACGTGAAGCAGTTGTGTTTGCATTGCTGTGTTTCGGTTTGAAGGGTGGGATATGGCGTGAATTTACTGGGTACAGAGGAATAACACGTGAGTCCTCAGGAATGGCAACGCTTATATAGGGGGTATCATGGGCGAAACAGTATACTCTGTTATGTCCATGGTACTGCTCGTGTCTATAGGCGACGGTTACCACTTTCCATCAGGTGGGCCGTCAGCTTGTTTGTCATTCTAAGTTGCATAAAAAAAATATTGAGATTAGATTTAAGAGTAGGTTGTGATATAACGGAAATAAGGAAAAATACAATATTATCTCAGTTAATAATTGTTTTTTACAACTTTCCTGAAGTAAACTAGGAGGCGCTAGACAAACTAAATTTGAGAAATTATGTACAAATCGTCATAGTCGTAGAATACTGACGGATCTATATATGTAATATTTGTCAGATCCGTCAGTATTCTACGACTGTGACGGAATACTCTACCACAGATAATATAATACTATACTAGTACAGATAGATCATCTTGAACAAATAAGTGAAAAGCTCAAAGTCGGTTTATTCTTCGGCTTAATATTTAGTTGTTCATATGTGCGCTAGATGCCGCTACTTTCTTAGTCGCTCGCCAGCTCAAGCTAATAAATTAATTTACCGATGACTACTAATTGCGTAAGCAACTTATAGATGGCGTCAATCTCTGTGGCGTTTGCGTATTGTTGTGGAATATTCTATCCATACATATAAATAATAATTGCCTATCTAATTGAATCGTTTCGGCGGTCTCGTCTTGCGTTTATACATATATAGTTCAATAGGTAAGTATTGCACGAGACTGCGTCGGAGTTTAAATAGCTTGCTTTACATGAATCGTAATACGATTTACTTTACGGAACTCTCCGAATGTGTAAGGTTTTTTTTTTCTTATAAATAGATAAGTACTTAGTATACTCGTGTTATCATATCGTTCTATATTTGTCATTTCTGAACTAATTTAGTTTAATTCAATATGCTTTATGTATTATTGCGTTCAATGCATGTAAATTTTGTGATAGGTAAAGCGTTTTTGTGGAACAAAATGTAAGTACTGTGTGAGGATGATGACGATGAAATCAGTCACTTTTAATGGAATAGTAACCTACCACCGTTTGCGTTGTTGGTATATACTAGTAGAGTACTTACCAGTTAACGTATAATATACAAGGGTAAAGTCAAATCAGACGGCGCGTCATGATTAATTCACCAGGAATAAAACACGAAATAATATACCCTGTCAATGTCGACCTTTTTAAACGGTTTTATTTAGCTCGACCTGTACGGTATTTATTTATTTGGGTCAAAATTAGAAATTAGAATTTAAGCACCTTCCCGTTGTCAGATTGATCTGAAATTTGGTACACACATTTAATTTAGATGACAATACAATATAATAAAATCAATAACATTATAAATCTAAGATGGCCGCCGATACAAAATGGCGGATTACATATTTTTCCTTAACCCCGCAATATGGGTATCAAATGAAAGGGCTACACTAGTAAAATACGACGATTATGTCAAAATTTAAAATTCAAGATGGACGCCGTTCCAATATGGCGGACTAGGTACATATTTTTCCACAACCACCACAATATGGGTATCAAATAATAGGACTACACTGAGACACCCAGACACTAGACACTCGGACACTAGACACTCGGACACTAGACACTCGGACACTAGACACTCAGACGCTAGACCCTCAGACACTAGACACTCAGACACCCAGACCCTACAGCAAAAATACAGCAAAACACACAGACACTAGACACTCGGATACAAGACACTCAGACACTAGACACTCGGACACTAGACACTCAGACGCTAGACACTCGACACTCGACACTCAACACTCAGACACTAAACACCAGACACTAGACACTCAGACACTCGACACTCAGACACTAGACACTAGACACTAGACACTCGACACTAGACACTCGACACTCGACACTCGACACTCAGACACTAAACACTAGACACTAGACACTCAGACACTCGACACTCAGACACTAGACACTCGACACACGACACTCGACACTCAGATACTAAACACTAGACACTAGACACTCAGACACCTAGACACTAGACACTCAGACACCTAGACACTAGACACTCAGACACTGGACACTCGGATACAAGACACTCAGACACTCGACACTCAGACACTAAACACCAGACACTAGACACTCAGATACTCGACACTCGACGACACTCGACACTCGACACTCAGACACTAAACACTAGACACTAGACACTCAGACACTCGACACTCAGACACTAGACACTCGACACTCGACACTCGACACTCGACACTCAAATACTAAACACTAGACACTAGACACTCCGACACTCGGATACAAGACACTCAGACACTAGACTCTCAGACACTTGACACTCAGACACCCAGACACTAGACACTCAGACACTAGACACTCGAAACTCGACACTCGACACTTGACACTCGACACTCGATACTCGACACTCGACACTTAGACACAAGACACTCAGACACTAGACACTCAGACACTAGACACTCGGATACAAGACACTCAGACACTAGACTCTCAGACACTTGACACTCAGACACCCAGACGTTAGACACTCGACACTCGACACTCGACACTTAGACACTAGACACTCGGATACAAGACACTCAGACACTAGACTCTCAGACACTTGACACTCAGACACCCAGACACTAGACACTCAGACACTAGACACTCGAAACTCGACACTCGACACTCGACACTTAGACACAAGACACTCAGACACTAGACACTCGGATACAAGACACTCAGACACTAGACTCTCAGACACTTGACACTCAGACACCCAGACGTTAGACACTCGACACTCGACACTTAGACACTAGACACTCGGATACAAGACACTCAGACACTAGACTCTCAGACACCCAGACGTTAGACACTCGACACTCGACACTTAGA